ATCTTCCTCGGGTACTGGTGTGACATTGAGATTCAATTTCAAGTTTCGAATAATCTGCTTGTTAAATGAAAGAACTTGTGGAACACCATTAATGAAAGGAATGACATGTGTGGTTCTAAAGTACCGATAGGAACGAACAAAATCGTCCGTTTGATCTTGTCGTTCAGTCATAAAATAGGGAACGTACCATCCCACACGACCAATGGGTCCCAACTCTCCCAGATCTATGATATATTTACCATTTTGTACATATTTTCTAGTGAGCATTGTTTATATCATGAAAGGGTATTTTGGGAGAATGATTTGGAATATGAACATCAAAAGGTTAATTACGAGATTGATAGCACAATTGAATATGGTAATGAAGTGATTGATAGAACAGCGAGTGAATATACAATAGTGATTATGAACAAACTCTACGAACCTGTAATCTTGCGATCGACCTGACTTCCAAAACTCCAGAATGACGATTGGCTTATCTTTTCCCTCAGTATTGATCAGTTCTAAACCTTTCGTAACTGTTGTATTGCGTCTAATGTTCACACAAACTCCAAGCTTCTCTTCGAGCAGAATTTTCGCCACCATGTTGTTCACTTTGGATGATTCCCACGGATTTTGAATTAAAGTCAATTCATTATTAATGCATTCAGAAGGTGAAAACAACGATTCACTATATTTGGTTATCATCATGGAAGCATCTAAACAAGGCTTGTATCCATTCGCTGCTATTTTGAAGCTACTAGTAGAGCTTATAACGACGAGTAGTAGTAGTATCACACTAATCATGTGTGTGGACCATGTGGTTTTTGTGTTGTGTCCATACCATGGTTGTGTGGAGCGGAATTGAGTGATGAACATGCGGCCACATGATGAAGACAAAAACTCTTTGCCTACGAGGTGAGCCATAGGTTGATCGTGTGGCTTATTTTTCAAAAAGAGCAAGTCACAATTCTACTTAATAGTCCTATCAATTAAAAAGTTCATATTAAAAAAAACAATTTTCCAAATCAGAATAGAGCTTGAACCAGTGTTTCCACACGTCAGTGAAAGATGTTTGGCTGCTTGATCGATTCCTCTGTGTACTATTGTAAAAAAATTGACCCAGGTATGGGATAGTAAGAGAACATAAGTCAAAACGAAAATTGTGCAATGGCAACCCATCCCTTGCATGATGATCCTTCTTGTTGGCATGTTTGGTTCCAAGTCTCCTGCATTTCTGAGTCAACCCATTATTCGGAAAAGAACGTCCGTGAGGATCGATCCTACTCATCAGCATCATCACGGAATCATGGATTGATGATAACATAAATATATTGTTATTGGGTAAAAAATTCATGAAGATGAATAGAAGATGAAATATTGGTTGATGATTTTTGAAAATAATTATTTTCTCCGAAGTTGTTCCAATAATAATGGAACGTAACATGGTTCGTGAGTGCACTCAACCCGCGGGCGGTGGTTGTTTATCCACACATTTTTTGTTTTGCACATTGCAAATGAAATTTCGAATCTTGTGCTACCCTCAATGATACTACTTCGAAAACCACGTTGTTGTAAATCACCTTGGATGTTGAGAATGTACATTACAGGAAATTTGTTATTTTCGCAGCAATCCGCTACAATTTTGTAGGTTGCGGTTCAGTTGCCGTTCAAAAAATACATCATGCCAGCTCTTACTCCCGAAGAACTGCTTCCGCTTGCCGTTAGCTACTCCTCTACGATGGCTGCGGTTCATCATCAACAACAGCAGCAGCACGGGAATGACCAAACACAACAAACAACCAATACAACCCCAAGTCACATCAATAAGAATATCAGCAATGATGAAACGAGTTTTCAGCAGTCCGAAGATGACGGTCAGTCTCGTACAGATTTGGCGAGGACAATATCCGCTCTTCCCAATAATCATCAACAGCCAATAGAGAAGGTATCGATTCCAAATCTGCCTACCTTTTTTACACCTTGCCTGCTGAAAAACCAAACTTCTCCGATCATTCACTATGACAGGGATAGGTCCATGATCATTACATGTAAATATACACCACAAAACTACAAGACTTACATCTCTCTTCCACTTAATAAGGACGACACAGTGTATTGTGTAAAAGTTGCCATGACAACTTCAGCAGTCCCTCAGTTGGAAACAGATGCAGAAATTGCTCAATACTTGCAAAAACATTTGGAGCAAACAGATATTGTGCCGCACGTTTTTACATACATTAGTGATTATTTGATACTGGTTCGGGAGTTTGTGAATGGAGTCTCGTTTCGACATTTCATTGACAACAACTCGGAACTGGACTTGGTGAATTGCGATTCAACTCTGAGGCAAACGCGTCTTGAAAGAATACTCGAGATTGCCATACAGATGTGCAGTGCTATTGATCAAATGCATGTTGCACGAGTTTGTCATTGCGATTTAAGACCTGAAAATTTGATCTATGATATTGAACACTCGTGTGTGAAATTGATAGATTTTGGCCAAGCCGTTTTTCTACCTCTGAATAATCCTTATATTTTCACAGATCGACCTGTTGGATCATTTTTGTACATGCCGCCCGAAGCAACAGGAAAAATATCAAAACCTCTTGGATTTCATTGTGACATTTACAGTTTTGGATTTGTTTTATTTGAAATGTTCGCGAAAGAGCATCCATTCAAAACTGGCTCTAACAACAAAGTGAAAAGCACAGCCGATTACATGTACTATCATATCACACAACAACCAGAATCTTTGGTCAATGTTTTAAAGAGGAAAATTATGTTAAGTGATGATCAGGCGGATCAATTGTTCGCACAATCCATTCATGCCCTATCTCTAGTAATTTCAATGATGGTTAGAAAGCCCATAGAGAAACGGTATATCAGCATTGAGGGTGTGAAACAAGATCTGAAATGGATCCTTCAACACATTCAAACGAATGATCTTTCTGCACTAGCCAATTTCACTCCAGCACAGTTTGACATTCAAACAACGATCAATATTCCATATGTGGTGTACGGTAGAGAGGAGATGATTCAACATCTCTACGGAGCTTTGAAAGAAATGGAAAATTCTTCCCTTCCAAAATTAATTCTGGTTCGAGGTTATAGTGGGATTGGTAAGTCTTGACTTGGTGGTGATTCATGTTCTTGTTGTGTGATTAATAACTGATTAATTTTTTGGCTATTATTTGGCAACAACTCACAGGAAAATCTTGTTTGGTGCACGAATTTAGAATTAAATGTGGGCAAGAGCTGGATTTTTTTGAATCTAAATACAATCAACATCACAATGTCCCTTATTTTGCCATCAAAAAGATCATGAGTTCATCATTGAGTCAGTGCTGGGAGAATCAGAACAATTCATCACGGAGTTTACTTCCCAATTGACTTCTCTACTGGGACGCATCCAAATTGAAATGCTTTGTAACAGTGTTCCCAATTTTTCATGCTTACTTCCTGCCCAAAAACGAACCAATGGTATGACACAGCAAGTTAGAGAAGATACCATTCAAATGTTTGCACAAGCAGGTATGTTGAAAGCAACCCGCAAATGACATAACAGCAATCTCAAAATGTTTTAGTCATTTTTTTAATGCAAGTGTTTAGCCAAAAGAAAAACAAGCGGTTATGCATTTTCTTAGACGATTTACAATGGACTGACTTTGAGAGCATGAAATTACTGAAGGAAATGATTGGGTTAGGAAGTTGTGAAACCATACCATTTCTCTTGATTGGTGCTTTTCGAGATAATGAAGTATATGGAAGCACTCTTCATCCACTACAGACATTTATTGAATCGATTCGGCCTTTAACGTCAATCACAGAAGTGGAAGTTAAAGAATTAACAGAAGATTCATGTAATTTATTGGTAGCAGAGTCATTGAAGCGATCACTTCAAGACACAACAAATCTCACAAACATTTTGTTCTCCAAAACAAAAGGAAACCCATTCTTCTTGAAGCAGCTTCTTGCATCCTTGTTTGGAGAAGGGAAAATATATTTCAATAGGAAATTGAATCAGTTAACATGGAGTATTGAGGACATTGAAAAAGCACCTTATGCATTGAATGTGGTAGATTTTTTACTATTACAACTCAATAATTTACAAGTTGAAACTAGAAAAGCGTTAGCATTTGCCTCGTGTATTGGTAACAGTTTCTCGTTAAGTCAACTCTGTGATTTACTGAATTCCAAGCAGATGGAATATTCAATCTTAGGTTTAAAGGATATTGTTGCACAGGCCATAACACAGGGATGGATTAGTTACGTTGACTCTCATACTTTACAATTTAATCACGATCGGTTACAACAAGCTGCCAATGAATCAGTTTCAGAGAATACGAGAAATTATATTCATTACTCATTCGGAAAGTATTTGTTAAAACACAAGTCAGACAAATCATTGGATGAAATTATTTTTGATATTGTTGCGCATCTAAACTACCGAGCTAAAGACTCTAAAATAATTGAAAGAGAGGACAAGCGAAGATTACTTTTGGACTTGAACACTAGAGCTGCTAAAAAAGCAATTACAACCTGTGCTATGGAGCAAGCTCAATCTTTTGTCAGAACAGCCATGGATTTGTTGCAATATGAGACTGATATTTGGGAAGGTCCACTTTATAACACAGCATTTGATCTCTTGATTGCTCGAGGAAATTGTGAATATGTTAAAAATATTGAATTGGCAATAGAAACATTCAATTCCTTGATTCAAAAGTCAAAAACTAGATCTCATCTCTATGAGGCGTGTTATTACACGTCTATGGCATATGTAGCGCTTGGAGAGTTTGAAAAAGTGTTCGACATGTTCAAGAATCACATTTTTCCAATCCATGATGAACTCAAATTTTTATCCTTCCAAGTGGATGAAGAGCAATTGAAAACGTTTATATTCAACAAAATGAACCACTTGAAACATGATTTATTACAGACTTTCAAATCAAAGCAAGATGTGTTAGAGTTGCCTGATATGTCCGACCTTGAACAAATGAATTTTATCAACATGCTTGGAATGAGTATTCCAGCTATATACGTGATGAAAGTTCCATTTAGTCCCTATATTTACATGATCACATTACTGGTTTCTACAGAAACTGTTTTGCAGTATGGTTTGTGCGAGTATGCTCCCTTCATTTTTACTTCTCTTGGTTGGTCATGGTGTAATTTTGACCTGTTTCCAAAAATGAATATATTTTTGGAAGCTGGAGTTGACTTGGCCGAAACAAGTACAAGAATCAGAAAGTTCTCTCGGCTTGTATGTTACTCCGCTTAATGAGTGTATATTTCTACCCAAATGTTAACTCTTTAACGCTTTGGTCCATGGCAGAGGAGGCTTTTTTGGTTACGTTAAAAGCTGGAAACAAAGATGTTGGCGCTTTTGTGATATTATTCTATCCATATTTTCATTTCTTTGAAGCCAATGGAGACATGAAAACCTCAATTAGCTTAAGCTTAAAATCTATCGAGCTATTCAAACAAATGGGAAACATTGGCATGATAGATGCAGGAATGATGCAATTGGAAATGAAACGAGTACTATGTGGTGAAAGTGAAAAATTTGAGCCTGCATACTGTATGGACGTCTTGAATCAACCATTTTTTTCCCAATTTCATTACGTGTTTAAAGGTATTTCGTACTACTTTCAGAGAAATATCACCGAAGCCTTTGATGCTCTCGAGAAGGCTTATGAATTGAGAGCAAGTACAGTAGGATTGTGTCCTCAATGGATCGGTGCGTTACTCCTTGGTTTGGTCACGTGTGAATATGAAATTTACTTGTTGATCATCATGAGAAGGATTCATTGGATGAAGTTCTTGAACGATGTGACACTCTCATGGAATTTGCATTACAAACGATGGAAAAACTTTCTCAAACCAATCCATTGCTATACCAATGTTGTTATGAATTGCTAAAGGCAGAGACTTTATACTGCAAAAATGTTAGATATAGTACACAATCCGATACCAGAGAAATCATTTCATCTCTCAATAGATGCCTTAAACATGCCTTACAAGATCGAAATTTATTTATTTTGAAATTGGCAAACTGGAGGACGGGTGTCTTGTATAAAAATTTAGGAATGGAGGACTGTGTGAGCGGAAGGTATTTTTCATTGGCCTACGATCAATACAATACAATGGGTATTACTGTCATGGCTACTCATATTTGGGAAAATTATAGAACACAGATTGAGGAATATTATCGTCAAGTGTCCAATCAAAGTGTGCCTAGCTCAGTACTACTGGATACATCAGAGACTCCATCTTCGTATGACGAAGCTTCATTGTATTCGTTAAACACTTCTCTGAAAGCAAGTAATGATTTGGATTTGAAAGAAATATTTATTTCTGTTCTTCCATTGCTCAGGGAGCAAACCAACTCTTCGCGATGTTGTTTAATATTGAAAAGAAATTCCATTCTATATGTAGATGCTGAATCTACGGAGATTGAAGTGGACGACGAGCATGTTGCAACTGTCAAGCCGTACGAGCATTTGAGATTGGATCAAGTACCGCACGAATCAATGCTTCCTTTGAAACTAATTTACAGAACGTTGAGAACAAAATCAGAGCAAATCTATCCCACAGAAGGAATTGAAAAGGTTGAGATTTATTTTGAAAAGAATCAAGTCAGTACTGCCATGTGTGTACCAATAATTCGAGATCGGTCCTCAATAGGTTGCATTTATTTGGAACAGAAGAAAATTAACCATGTGTTTTCTATGGAAACAATCAAAATTGCCAAATTAATCCTTTCCATCAGCATGGATAATGTTGAAATCTTTAGCTCGATTAACAAGTCCTATGCTCGATTTTTACCTTCAGAATTTTTAAAAATTCTAGGAAAGACACATGTCACAAAGGTAGAATTAGGAGATGCCATTTCTAAAGAAATGACGGTCCTTTTCGCAGATATTATGGGATTTACAGAGCTAATGGAAAACTTCACCGCAAAACATGGATTTCGCTTCATCAATCGACTCCTTATTGAGGTAAGTATTGAATGCATGTTAAATTTTCCACACAAAACAAATCATGGACATGAACAATAGTTGGCTCCTCCTGTTCGAAAATTCGGTGGATTTATTCACAAAATTCTTGGAGATGCAATCGTGGCACTATTTTCTGATGCTCAATCTGCCGTCAATGCAGCAATGGACATGATATCTAATCTTGACAATTTTAATAGGAACAATATGAGTAACATCAAAATTGGAATAGGTCTCTCTAAAGGACTTTTGAACATTGGAACTATTGGTTATGATTACCGATTGGATAGTACTATCATTTCTGATACAATAGCTATCGCTGATTGGTGTCAAACCATGACCAGACTTTTTCATTCATCCATTTTGGCTACTGAAAATGTGGTCAAATCCATGTCAAGCGACGATGACACTTCTAAAAAGACCATTGTTACCTATGTTGGAAAGTTTGTTTTCAAAGAGAACGAACCTGCATGGAATTTACATGACATCAAATCGAAACATTGGAAACATGTTTGTTTTGAGACTGCTCATGAACAAACACATCTCTCTCAAATGATCTCATCATTTCAGAGCAGAGATTTTACAACGTGCTCACACTTGGCAGGTAAATTGGTAAAAAGTAAGAGCTCATTTGCGGTAGCCTTGAGTAGAAAATATTTGGAAAATTGTTCGCTAAATACCAACGAGCCATTGTCTGCAAGTTGGAGCGGAGAAATTAGGTTGTCCTAATGAAAGCAACAACAACATTATGATTGCGATTATTTAGGAAGTGAGATTTGTAAAATCCTATTTGGATCATTCTTCCTTTTTCATGAACTTCTTTTTCTTAAAGCAATTCAACTTTTATGGCACAACATTCATCATGAACAAGCTTAAAAAAATTACAACGATATTAGAACATTTGGATAACGCAGATATGAACATGAAAACTACTATTACATCTTTAACCCTTCTTATGGTGTTGTTGTATGTTGTCACAACAACTTTCTGCGAATGCTCTGCAAACCCCGCAAATCAACCTCAACAACAACAGTCGAGCAATGCCACCACTCAAAACCATTACAAGATCGTTGGTCCAAATACCTCCATAGGACCCATACTCGGTTGGAAAACTTCACCCTTCATGGAAACTCTCTACATTATCATGGCTTTTTTCTTGATTATTTTCGTGTTCCGTTTACTTTGGGCCTTTCTTCCTAAACGACTGCATTTTCTTCACGCTTACGTTCCAGAGAGTGGCTTGTTGATTGTGATTGGAATGATTATTGGTGGATTTGTAGCGTTAGCAAAGGCCCATCAATTTAATGATGTCCTCACATTCAATGAGAGTATTTTCTTCCTATTGTTAGTTCCTCCCATCATTTTCCAATCAGGTTATTCCCTGCACAAGTCATTCTTTTTTAGGAATATTGGTTTGATTTTGTTGTATGCTTTTTTAGGAACTTTTTTGGATGCCATGTTTTTATCCTTGACGTTGTGGGGATTTTCACACATACCTGGTTTATTTAATGTGAAATATGAATTGCTGCAATTATTCATGTTTGGAGCGGCTGTTTCGAGCGTGGATCCTGTTGCCATTTTGACCGTCTTTGAAGATGTGAAGGTCAATGAGAGACTTAATATCATAATATTAGGACGTAAGTGATGTCTTTTGTGACGTTGTATTCAAATATTGCTATGGGCAACATTGATAGAGAGCGTTATCAATGATGCTGTCGCTGCAGTTCTCTCTGGATTGTTTACCTCATTGTATTTGACTGAAGTATTGAGTGGAGCTCCAGTGACCATTACTGGTGAACATGTGGGATTGGCCATTGCCAAGCTATTATGGATGTCATTGGGTGCTGTTATAGTTGGATCTTTGGTGGCATTTATTGGATTGTTTCTTTCTAGATTTTCAAATCGAATTGTAAGTGTTTGCAGCATGTCACATTTCAAATTCATTGAACCATTCACTAAGGTCGTTCTTGAATGTACCATTGTCATGTTGGTCCCATGGGCTACCTACTTGTTCTCAGAGTCTCTACTCGTCAGTGGAATTATTGGTGTCTTGTGTTGTGGAATTATTTTAAGTAATTATCTTGGTTTGAACATGACAGAGAAAAATCAAGAAACCGCAAGCACTGTATTGAAGCTCTTTTCACTCATGTTGGAAGCCATGATCTTTTTATACATTGGTGTCTCCATTGTAGCCATTCCATTACATTGGGATGGATTTTTCATTCTTTTTGCATTGGTTTTCACAATACTCTTTCGTTATGTAATCATTTTTGGATTGACTGGAATTTATAATTTAGTTGAAACCGTTCGTAAAACCAATCGAACAGTTTCCATCAAGAATCAATTCATCATTGCGTATGGAGGATTGAGAGGCGCCATTGCATTTGCTTTAATTTTCGTTATTCCTTCGAACGAGGTATTTAAGAGATCGTTTTTATCTGCCATTTTAGTGATTATTTTGTTCACAGTATTTGTGATGGGAGGAACGATTGGATTGTTATTGAAGTTATTGAGAATTCCTGGCATGAGCAGGTCTCAACAAGAAACACGAGATGCCATTCAACGAAATATGAATTCCATTAAGGAATATGAAGCCTTAATCTATCGAGCGTTGAACTCATTGAAACGTTTTCGAGACAAGAAGGAAGAAGGTTGGAATGATTCTCGTGAAACACTGAGATTAACTTCTACAAAAATTGAACAACTCATCTCCATCTTGAAGAAAGATGGTACCATTGATTTTCAGAACCAGCAACACTTGACTCCTAGAAATGTGATTGCACTTCGACGGAATGCAAAACGACAAGTTGTGTCTAGTTGGTCCACATTTCTCAAGGGTCAACCAGTAGAAAACCTTCCAAATGCAGTGCTTGCTGTTCATCGAGTCTTTGAAACCATTTCAAAGGTCATTCGAATCATCAAGTCGGTATCGATCACATTTTTCATGACGAGATGGATGAAAACCTCGTTCTTTTTTTAACACAACACGGAGTATTGGTTCAACACTCACCAATGAGTCACAATAATCCGCCATCGATCAGTGGCCGAGTGCACACCACTATTGACGTTGAACCCTCATGTAACGACAAGAGCTTTTTATTGTATTTGGAACGAATTCTATCGGTTCATATCATTATAGATTGGCAACGCCGATTACAGGAAGTCATGCGTGTTCGTACAGAAGGGGAGGCCATCCTACCTTCTCATTGGGAAGTCTTACTCTCTTCCATCATTAACATTCTCAATGTGGTGTTAGACAAGGGCCAAACTGAAATTAGTGAACTCGACAAAATATCATTTTCAGGAAGTGTGTTTGGTATAATTTTGGAAAGTACAACGAGCGCTGCTGAAGATATTGCAGGAGTTGGTCAATGGAGCCGAGGTTTTAAAAAGGTGTGGTATCTCCTTGATTCGTTAATCAAGAAGTTAGTTGTTCGAAGTCTCAATCAGGAAGAACAAGAACTGTTATTTGAATATAATGCCTTTATTCGAAGAAAATCAGAAGCTCAAGATGAAGAAGAATCTAGTTCGGCTCGACAATGGAAAATTTCACATTTATTAAGCAAACCACAAGTTTCTCATGTAAGAATTATGGACCAATTTGAAAATAGTAATTGGCGAAAGCGAAATGCCCTTCGAAGGTATTTTAGTCCCACCATTTTCAAGCGAAAAGAAACTCCTAAAGAGATGGAGAGTTGGAAAGCTACTGGCACAGGTCCATATTGCAGTTACCAAACGTCATTTTCGGGATCTAGGGATGATGTGATTTTGAACAAATTGGGACACTCATCCTCGGAAGAAATTAGTGACACCACAACTCCATCAACGGAATTGACAGAAACTTCACAGACTGTGACAGACCGTACTTCCCATCCTTAGTGAGGGTTTGAAGGAATTGAGGAATAGGTAAATTGTAACGTTCTCAAGGATGTTCTTTATATTGATCAATGCAGACTTAATGTACTTTCAGAAATGTACGTTCTTACCCTGTGTGCATGAAAACTCATTCCAATTGTTTGATCTGTTGTCGCAAATTTCTGAGATAGGTTTCATAATCTCCAAAATCCCAATAGTACATTTGACCTCCGTCCAAAAAAGATGTATCAGAATTAATTTTCAGTAACCATTCCTCACAGAACGGTGGACGAATCATTTGAGAAAGACCACAAGTTCCTGCCTTCACACCAATTCTCTTCTCGGGCGTCAGTAATGCTTCTACTGCCTTAATTAAAGAAGCAGCATGTGTCACTACAAACACCATCGTGTCATCTTCATTTTCATGTGCTACAAAATTGAGAATATTGTCCATGGCAATTTTACATCGTTCTTCCAAATCTTGAACACTTTCCATCGGTTTCTCTTCCAGAAAATATTTAAAACAATCATTTCCAAATCCTGGAATTGAATAAAAACTTGAGTTAAATTCGGTTTGATTTTGGGCTTTTACAAATAATTCTCTAAATTGTTCGTGTGACTCAATTCTTCAAGTGTTGAGGAAGAATTTCTTGTGACCATGTTTTTTTTTCTCCAAACCATTCCATCACCCCATATTCAATATACAGTTCATACACAATATTTTCAGAACATAAATGACTTTGTATTCCATTCAACATGGAACGAGCCGTCTCTAAACATCTTCGATAAGGTGACGAAAAAATTATTATTTTTTTCACTGGTTTCCCAAATACATTTCCATGAATCATTGAAGCGCTCCCATTGTGGTGATCATTCAGTGTAGAAATAAGTGTTGTCTCAATATGAATGAAAGGTTCTTTCACAGAAGTATCATTATTCAACAAGGCCAAATCATTGGTCATGGATTGCTTCTTTTTGGAAAATATAAATTCATTTTTCACTAAATGTTGGCCCAATAGAAATGCACATTCACTACCGCGTGCACTCAGGGATGGATCATGAATTCGATTATTTTCATTTTCAATCCAATTTAAATATTCGGAAGAATTTTTAATGAAATCTTTTTAAAATAATAATAATTATTACATTCCGAATTTAATGTTACATTCCAAAGCACATCCCATGATAAGAACCACTTGATAGGATAACAAAACACTCACCAATTCTCTCTCCATGTCTCACAAAAAACAATTCTCTCATTTTTTTTTGTAAAATTCGTTTTTGGTTTTTTTTCATTCACTTGTTGAACACATAATTAGAAAATGAATATTATCATATTGATAATAATACAAACACTACTACTAGTTGCATTGTAACATGTTTTTATTCAAACATATAAATCATTCCAAATATATAAATAATTATTATAAAAAATTTCACACATCTTACTTTCTCTTCTTGAACGCATTTCCTGCCGATGAGGAAGAAGATGATCCTCTACAGAATGAAATTAACAAATCTTCCAAGACACTTGTTTTTCCTTTCAATTTACCATCAATGGTACTCTCAATATCTCTAAAATACTTCTTGGAAGTATCATAAATATCCTTCTTATTTTGTTCAGAATTGAGAAGATTAGTTTCTGCTGTTCTGATGACTTGTGTTGCTTCTTGAATCAAATTAAGAGTTTCTTTTGGATTAGAAGCATCAGAAGCTTTCAATAATTGACATTGCACACGTCTTGTAGCAATACGAATGACAAATTCAGGATGGAAAATGGATCTTCGATAGGCCTTGAACACTGTTGTTAATTGTTCCCAATAATCTTCAGCAGTTTTCAATGCATTCAAACAAGAATCATATCTTGATTCTAACAATTCCTTTTCTCCCTTGTGGATATGATCGAAAATCAAATCAGTCAAGAATTCTGGTGGATCTTCCAAAGCAGGTTGAAGCAAATAATAACACAGTGGAACAACACATCCGAAAAATCCAGCAAGGAATGTGACATAAATGACAAACGGTTTTCCAGGATTCATTAACATGTCAGGATATGTCTCGACATCAAAAAGTGACATGTCCACATAGTCTGGATCTCCATGTTCTTCATAATTTTTACGTTTCTTTGGATCCAATAAAATTTCTTGAGATTGTTTGAGTTGAAGGTATTTGAGTCTGGCAGTGTCGGGATCGTCTTCCTTGTTTCGATCAGGGTGCCTTTAAAGTGTCAATCATGATTACAATCATGGTCCATTCATTCATCGGAAAATGATTTGAAAGATTTGAAATCCAAGTATGTATCATTTGCGTTATTATTCAATTTTTCACATCATTCATATCATTCGTATCATTCATATCATTCATATCATCAATTTAAAAAAAATAATATATTATTCAATATATATCATCCATGATGATTATTAGTGTTATTATTACACAACGTCATGATTCACACAATATATTCATGAAAACTTACAATGTTCTCGACAAGATACGGAATTGTCTTTTCACTTCCCGATCCGTACAATTTCGATCCAATCCCATAAATTCATAGGGATCGAATGAAAGTTTCTTTCCAGATCCACCACTACCATTTCCAGCAAATAAAACAATGAGTAACAATCCAATCACAACCAATGCTCCACAGAGAATTTTAACTTTTCTATAAAAGTCATCGGATTGCCAGAATTTTTGGAAAATAATGAATTGTATGCGATCGTATTGTTGGAGAAGGGGAAGGCCCAATGAGTATTTGAGAGAGGAGAGGACCATCCTGAGGTTGTTGTTGTTGTTGTTGATTATTTTTTTGAAAAGTGTTTTTTTGTAATTTTTCAAAGTTCGTACAAAGACAAATGACAAGTGACTCAGTAAATGCTTTGACGTCATTGAATGTTTACATGCTGTGGCATTCATTATTGGAAAATCATTCAAAATGTAAAGACAAGTGCCAAATGTCATTAATTACCTCTTTCAATAAGAGAGGCTATATCATCACACATGAGTATTCTTCCACACAAATTCACACCATTAATTCCGAATCTCCCAAATGCCAAAAGTCAAATCTTTCCGATCAATTTTCGGCTAAAAAGTGAAAAACAATGAAACGTCTCTCTCGGGTTGTGGTTATCCTTCTCACAACCACGATTCTTGGAATGATCAATTTATGGAGCGGTAATGGAATAACAACAACCACAAATTGGTTTTCTTCATCATCATTCAAATTCTCATCGTCATTGATCAAGCTGCCAAATGTCAACACTTCTTTCACACTCTCCCGAAATCATTTGGAAACCATTCATAATCATTCATCAAATCATTCATCTATTATTTACGATTCTGGTTACGATTTCAATCAAACAGAAGATCTCGTGAGTGATTCGATTTCATTTTGTTGTTCTGTCCTGTCAACACTCAGTGCGTTGATTGTTTTTGTCATGTTTTATATGGAACATTCATGGATTTTTAGTTTTGAAAACAAATCAAAGAAGATGAATTATTCCAAGACGTTGAAACAGGCGATTATGGAATTGGGTTGTTGTCAATGGTTTCCGAACAATCAAAATCTGTATTTGGAAATTTCGAAAATGGAAAGAAGGAAGATTTTCATACAGAGAGCAAAAAGAAAATTTATTCGAAGAATGATGTTATCATTGCTGGTCTCGGATTTGATTTGTTCTGTGAGTAGAATTTTGTTTATTGCATGGTGGTGGATTTGTTCGATGGGTGCTCCTGAGTCCATGTTTGAAAGAAAATTCACGACCGTTCAACAAGGAAATGGAACTGCTGTGAATTCAACTTGGACCAATTTTTCAGTACATCATGTAGTCAATTACTACAATTCTCACAACTCTTTACTATGGAAACATTCATTATTTCATATGAAGTCTCAAGTCGAGGAAAATTTTTTTCCAATTTCAGAGCCATTCTTAATGACACCCTCACTCGCTCATTCCAATCTGACACAACCAAACATTACCATATTAAGAGCTATTACGTCATGAAATCAGCTCCTCTCACCATTCACAAATTCTTTGTACATTTAATTTACGCCTTCACTCTGTCAACTGCCACTTGGTGCGTCATTGTGGCATTTGCCATTTTTGCAACCACTCGTCAATTTAAATGGCTCGAAGAAGACATTACCAAGAAGGTCGATCAATCCCTCGACAATATCGCAAGCTTTAACAGTAATTATTCAGAAGATTCCAAAGCACAATTCGATAGCACAACAAATTCCTCAATTCATGCAATGGCTCTTTTAAGCTCAACTCCAACAGCACGAGAATTACAAACCAAATCCATGACAATATCGATTCCTTCGCAAGCAAATTCACCAAAACAACGAAATGTTCTCAAAACATCGTACGGTCGATTAGGAAAATGAGTCGAAAGACATTTTTTGAAATTTGTTTTCATGTTGTGGCTTGGGGAATTGCTATTGTGACATTTGTCATGTTGTTTTTTTTTAGATTATTAGCATTCATTCGGATGTTAGTAAGGACTCTGAGATTCAGTATATTACTACATTGTATATCAGTTGGGCAATTTATTTTACGGGTGTAAGTTTTTGGTATTGAACTAGTTTTGGAGTTTACAATTTTGGAAATATTGAAAATATTTGAAAATAATTACTGACAGACCATTTGTCTCAATTTCACTATTTTAATTAGCATTTGGAGATATTTAGGTCACTACTTTAACAATTCACAGCTTCAAGTCATTCCCAAAAAGGAAACAAAAAGACGTCAAAAATATGTCATTGTGAAAATGACACTTCTTCTCTTGCCATACATTTTATGTGGAATTTTTGAACTTGCTTATTGGTGTTACAGTGCTGCAAGTACTGTTCTAGATAAGGACGACGAAGGATTTATTCTTGTTTTTTATAATTTTTTCTTTAACACCATTGTTCCATTGAAAGGATTCTTTTTTGGAGGTACGTATTGAGTGAAATCTCATCAATACTATTTATCGAAAATTAATTTCTATTTTTTATTACTATTTGTTTTTCATTTTAATATTTGGAAATTTATTTTTCATATTTTCATATTTCCATATATATTTATTCCATTCTACCAATCAGTGGCCTTTTTATTTGGAGCTCCCAAAATTAGATCCTTTTTCTCCTACCTCTGTTGTTGTTGCTGTCATCAAGTCAAACGCGGTCGTTACGACTCTGGAATATCCACCAATTACGCACATCCACAATTGAACACTCAAACGTTATTGACAGAACAAGAACAAGAAGAAGCAATATCAACGACGAATGATTATCCTTCTCAATCGCCCCAAATAGGTACATCTTCTCATTATTATTACCTTAATGATTCGTCGAGAAGGGTTGAAAATGACAAACGTCAAAATGGTTGGAAGGAGGATGAAATTAATTATGATGAAATTGCATTTGGACGATTGGACTCGAGAGCTGAAAGTGTAATTATTCATAATCCAATGAGTGGTAGCATGAACCATGTAAGAATGAGACAAAAGACATGGCATGCTCAATCGTCACTGTCAAATGTCAACTCACCAAATACTTCTCCAACACCTCAACAACAAACACAAAATGACGACCGAGTGGTCGACCAAGTTGAAAATCTAGAAAATCACCAATGATCCAAAACAAAATCATCGACGACTATTTTCTTCATTTTCAAATAAGAATTCGAAAACATTTCGAACACAACAACCATTCATTCATCAATCCTATCACATTCTAAATCAAACAACTGTTACAACATTGTTTTCATAAAATGTATTTTTATTTACAAAAATTGATGTCACTTTTTAAAGTCAACAACAATGACATTTTTCAACAACATTTTCACTTTTCAGATTCTGGTGGTGTATTATCAAAAGCATTCAACACGGATTCAATCTTTGAATTTTGCTGCGTAGAATTTGCATGAACATTATTTCCTCCTAAAAATTCATCCATAAACGACATGGAAGAAGTCGTAATGTTGGATCCAACTCCAGAATGTTGGATCGATGATTTCATAGTTCCAGAACTGGAGTTGGTTGAATCGCCTCCAAAGAAATCTCCTAATTGTTCACTCAGTTGATGAGAGTATTGATTAATATTGGGAGGAGGGTTGGAAGAGTTCGAAGAAGATGTATTTTGAGAGAATATATCGAATTGTTGTGCATTGTCTGTGGTTGGATTCATTTTTGAAATAATTCGGAATGATGAGAGTACAGTGGAAGGATGAAAGAGAATGATCGAGGAAGGAGAGAATGAGGTGTGTGGTTCAACGGATGAGCTTTTTTTAAAGAGTTTGAATGTGTTGATCAAGACACATCATACGTGTTAGTGAGGTTTTGCAACAGCTACTTTTTTAAAGACATTTGACAGAAAAATACCTTTTCAAAAAGTCTATTATGGGAAATGAAGGTTGTTTGATGTTTCCTTTCCTTCCTGCAAAATCAATGAGGTTGCAAACAGTATTGAATGTTTAACCAAATTATTGTTTGTTTCTTCAAAGACCATACATTGGACATGATGACGAAAAGTCATGCAATTCATGGACTTTTCATTTGTCGATTCTTCAATCAATGGCAATACATTTAACAGGTTCATGAACGATAATCTAATAACGCCAGCAAGTACCTAAAAATCAAAACTGTATTAAATAATCGTGTATTTTCGAATACTCTCAGCTTACTTCTTCTTGGACCATTGTTCCATCACTTGTTTCATAGTTTCACCGAGACGAGCAGGAGATCTTGAAACAACAACTCCAGCCTCTTCCAAAGCCTTAATCTTTGATGGAGCGTCACCCTTACCACCGCTAATCACAGCACCAGCGTGACCCATTCTACGTCCAGGTGGAGCAGTAACACCAGCAATGAAACCAACTACTGGCTTCTTAATTGGATGATTCTTCAAGAAGGCAGCAGCATCTTCCTCAGCTTGACCACCAATTTCACCAATCATGATAATACCCTCAGTCTCTGGATCATTCAAGAACAAGTCCAAAACTTGAATAAAGTTAGTACCATTGAATGGATCACCACCAATACCAACACAAGTAGATTGACCCAAATTGGCAGCAGTGGTCTGAGAAACAGCTTCATAGGTCAAAGTACCTGAACGAGAGACGATACCAATCTTACCCTTTCTGTGAATGTAGCCAGGCATGATACCAATCTTGGATTCCTCAGGTTTAATGACACCAGGACAGTTTGGACCAACCAAACGAATGTGCATATCATTTCCGTATTCTGGAGCTCCTTCAACCAATTTACGATAGAGTGCGAGATCAGATCCCTTTCCGAGAACAGCATTACCAATCTTACCAAAGGATGGCTTGTAAATTTCATCAAGAGTCTTTCCCTTGGCAACTTCAGCTTCGACTTGACGTGGAGGTCCATATTTACGGAACATTTCGAGATTCTTTTCGTTGAGTGCTTGTTTGACGACGAGCCTGTTGTTGTTGTTGTTGTTTGATGAGAATTATATGGGTGGGTGGACGTAATGGTGAGCAAGAAGAAGATGAAATAGATGCGAGCAACAGTGGGTCATAATGAAAATTATTGTTTCAAAGAAGTGTTGTTGTTGTTGTGAAGTTTCAAAATTCACAGGATGAAAATGATAACAGAGAAAGATGATTATTGCCCCAATCAATATTATTCGCGAATGAGGGATCCAAATGAATCATTGTGAATGATGATGATCAAGAGTTGATGATTCCATGAGTCAATATCACCATCATGTCAATATAAATGTCCACATGATGATATCCATCACAAGAATCCAATAAAAATCAATTTTCAAAATCATCATCATTGATGCCAAATTAAATTTTCAATAATAATTTGTTCAATGGAAACGTATAGAAAACACTTACATATCATGTTGTGGAATACCCTCAGTAATACAAACAATCAAAGGCATCTCAGCATCAATACTCTCCAAAATAGCTTGAGCAGCTCCTGATGGTGGAACATAGATAACGCTGGCACTTGCACCGACCTTCTCTCTAGCCTCTTTCACGCTAGCAAAGATTGGAAGTCCATCAATATTTGGGTGAGTAGTACCTCCTTTTTGTGGATGAACACCACCAACCATCTTGGTACCGTATTCAATGGCTTGTTTGGTATGGAATGTTCCTTGTTTACCGGTAACTCCTTGGCAGATCACTCGGGTAGTCTTGTTGAGCAAGAGAGTTCTCTTTTGATTATTCACGAGTGCTTGATACACGGTTTGGTTCAAAACCTTGGAAGCAGACTTTTGAGAGGATGATGAGAAGAGAGATTTTGAGAGGAACATTTTTTCGTGTGTGGCATGATGATGAAGAATCAAAAGAAGGATCATGATAATGACGACCAACTCTGTTTGTTGTCAAATAACATGGGTCTCAAATGACTGATATCATACACGATATGATGCTCATGAGAAAACAATGATAATTCAATCTTTCATTCTTGTCATCTATGAAAAAATGTGTGATGGTGTGTCACGACAACCTTGGAACAAATCACAGTTGAATATCACAAATTGTACGATTATTCCTTCTTGATTGCTTGGAAGTAGTCCAAATATTTATTGCAACCTCTTTCAACACAATACTATGGTCTACGCAATACGGACAATGTTCTCTCCCTTCTTCTTGGCTCAATTTTGTGAACAAGATGCACACGAACGGTTTTTTCCACTTCCAAGGCACTGGGCCTCTTGTTTGGATTCTGATCCAACATGAGTTGCAAAATTGTTCGAACAGGCGTGCTGAGACAGCTACTACTCAGCGAGGACATGATTTCATTCCAATAGAGTGACGATCCTAAATTCACAACATTCCCATCTTCATCATGACTATTGGTTGAATTGTGACTCGAAGCAATGCCAGTGGATCCTATTGTAGCTTGATTCGTGGTAGTGGAAAATTCCAACTTCTTTTTCAAATGTGATGAGTTGGATGGCGAACCAAAGTCTGACGAAAGCCCAACACCTGTTGTGGTTTTGTGATGCTTTTTTGACCATGAACTCTTCTCAATAATACTCAAGACACTGGCTCCCAGAGCATAGATATCCACCTTTTCTGAGTAGTGTGAAGAATTTTCTTCATCTAACATTTCGGGAGCTCTAAACCACAAACTACTTCTTTCATTGTTGGAGTCGTGACCATTAATTGTTGTCGCACTTGATTCCACAATATTGTTCAAATAATTATTCTCCCTCACGTCAAGCAATCTATTCAAGGAATCATATTTGAAATGTGAGCAATTTTCAAAGTCACACAACACATAGCAAATGAAATTATTACTAGAGGTAGACTGTCCTCTACACTTGATATTATTGGGGTCACATTTCGATGAATAATGTTTCGCTGGTGAAGATACCTTAATGCACTTGCAACATCCAAGATCAACATGAATATACTCGTTTCATCCCAAAGCAAATCGTCTGCAATTGGTTCCAACTTTTCAAATTCAACATAATTCTTATGAAGGGATAAAACGTGAGGCAAGTGCTTGGAGTAGTCGGATCGAGACAATAACAATTGAATAATGTACAATTCATTGGGTGAAACATGCTTCATGAGACTTGTAGATGTCACTGTGTAGAGAGGAGTGTTGTGTGAAGTCTCTTCATGAATTTGCAACACCTTTCGGCCACACAAAATGTTCACATTCACATTAGAGAAGGTATCTGATACAATGTGATGTTTCATGGAATTGGTCTGGTAGTGGATGGAGGCATTCGAAATGGCTAACGCATTACTTCGTTTCGAAGATTTTTTAGGGGCATATAGAAATACATGTCTCGAAAAAAGACTAATGAAAGAGAGGAGAGATTCCTCATCGAGAGGACAAAATTGTCGGTGATGAAGCTTGAAGTGAGTAAGAGTGCATTTTGGATCCTTCATCAGAGTCACATCCTCGAGCTCAATATCGAGCGGCGAAAAGTTCTTCAATATAGGATCCTTGTCAAAACACGCCTCTAAAATGAAGAGGTGAATGGCTGTTCTTGAGGCAATTAAGCCACTCACTTTTTCATGGCATTCGAATTCGAGGAATTTTGAGAGTGAAATTGAGAGGAGCAGTCCAAATGATGCAGGTAGAAACAATCCATTAAGCAATTCAATTTCCCAATTAATCACCTACCTTTGGATTTGTTTGCGATATCTTTGATGTCAAGCTTTGAATTTTCTAGATTCTCAATCAAACTCGATTTCATGCACAACAGTAATTTGAACATATCAATATCATACTTTTCCCAGTCATCTTCAAAGTCATTCTCCCGTAACTCTGCAATTAGATACTTTTTGTCATATCGTTGAGCACAGCCATCTATTTGAATTGGAAACTGGTTACTCACATCTTCAATTTTGATTTCCATTGATACATTACTTTTACGAGTAAGGTATTCAATCATTAATTCAAGTGTGAACAATTATTATAGATACCTACGTGGAGTATTTTGTGTCTGGAGCCATGGACAACAAATTATTGATCAAGGAATGATATGAAAGAGAAATGTCACCATCCGTAGAAGATTCATCGATGCAAGTGGTTACTAATTGCTTGATACTCGATAGAAGACCAAATGTGGTCAACTTCTTTGCATTTGGAAGGTACAACTTGAGAGCATCCACAAGTGATGCCACATACATGGACCAATCTGCTGCAGAACCACTCTTTGGATTATCATTTTCATTCACTGCTTCATACGCCTGTTTCAGAGTATGGAAGAGCGAGTTATTGATCATGAGCTGACTATTTTCGGCGAGGGATATCCCAAGGGCCGAGCAGTAATTTGAAATTTCCTTATTTTTGAAAGATTTAAACTCGTGTGAATGATGATTGGTAGTAGTAGATTTGAATTTGTGCTGTTGATAATTATGATGATATTCCAACGCCACATAATGTTGTGAAAGTTGCTTCATTAGAATTTCTAACTTGTCCGTATTTGTGAGATCTTCTCGTTCTTGAATATTTCGAATGAAATCCGAGAAAGTTGGTTCCTCTGCTGTTGGTAACTCTCCATGCTTTCTCACTCGAAATCGCTCAAGGGCAAGCAGTAATTCACTAGGAATGGATTTTTGTGTTTTTGAGACCGTAGTCACGACAGCTGTAAATTCAGAACGTCCACGATTTTCTGAGTGTGCCAACGACGATCCCCTTTTCATGATTAATGTCTCGGCATCAAAAGGCGCTGTTATATTGAACGACTCAAAATCTTCATGATCCAAATTAAGAGTTCTTCCCTTAATCATGGTTGCTCTCGGGCTTTGACTGCGTTTATGATCTTTTGATGAAGGGCTATTTCCGAGCATGGTAAACCGATCAAGAAATCCAAATTTCTTTGAGGTATGATGATGATGATGTTGCTCATACCATTGTTCCTCATTCTCTTCCCGTCTTGTTGCTGATGCTTCCGTATTGAGTATAAGAGTATTGGCCCGATTAACCTGAGGAGATCTTTCATGCTGTAATGGAGGCTCATCATCCTTACTACTACCACTACGACCACGGCCACGACTTGATGAACGAATAGGTGTGGGTGATGATGATCTTGTCGGGTCTCGACCATTACCGTTATTATTATTATTATTGTTGTTATTGGTGTGGTTCATGTTTGAGGATTTATTACTACTACTACCAATAATCATGGTCTTCCATGCTGAAGGCATTTTTTTTAAGGCTAACGGTCATTTGTTCAACTGCGTGATGTCAGTTCTCAACAAGACTCTCATGATTCATCATTCACACCTTCCTCCATTTGAAACAACTTTGAAAATATCCACCGAATGGTTGTACATTGGTAACAATATTCAAGTCACAAGAATTTTTAAATTGAAAGCTAAAATTTAGCCAGGTGATGAAGTGACCACTTACCAAGATGTTTCTCAAAGAAATTTTGGTGCCTTTACTCGTCCATGGAATTCTCTCACAAGTTCTATTTGATGAAGTTGTGTTGCGTTATTCTCTCGACTCGAAAACAACACAGAAAATGTATTCATCATTTCACCCTCAGCAAATTCGCGCCATTTTCCACAAAAAAAATAACGTTTCATCAAATTACAATCCGACATGTAGGATATGATTTCGCGTCCTTACACACCTCTTCCTGAATCCGACACCCTCATTATTCTTCCCCGTAGACTGAAACACTTTAAGTCGCTGGAATCACGTTACAAAAATAAGCTCTCACAACTATAATTTACACAGATTCGTTCACGTTTCTTTTTGTAAAAGCGTAAGAACGATGATCGCTCTTATGTAGCCATCCTCAAGCTATTTCATGACGGCCAATCAAAAAAAAATCTCAGCCAACATGAAACTACAAACATCTTCCATTCTCTTTTGTTCTGTCTGCGAACACGATGGATTTAATGACATTCCAGCTGAATTTTATTGCGAGACTTGTCACCAATATCTTTGCCTCAAAGACAGCAGAATTCACAGAAAAGAATTACCACAACATTTGATGAGAAAGTTGAACGATGATCAAAAGTCACCAATACAAGCATCACCACAGTCGTGTCAATTACATCAATGTCCGATCAACACATTTTGCAAAACCTGTCGTCAGATTATCTGTTCTAGTTGTTCCGTCAGTCCTCTTCATAAATCACATGATTGTTATTTGTTGAGTGAAATTGATCAAGAAATGAGACAAGAAGTGCAGAAGGATATTGATAAACTGCAGGAATTGACAACGAATTGGGAGTTGAAAAGTCATTCAGGTTATGCAAGCTTGGATCAGGAAATGGCTGAAATTGAAAAACAGAGACAAGTGTTGAAAAAAGAGATGGACACAGTATTCGATGAGTTACACCAATCTTTGAGAAAGAGACATGAAACGTTGAATGAAGAATTGGATAAATTGTGTCAGAGAGAACTTGCATCATTTCAAAAATTAAAGAATTGAAACAACAAGCAGACCGTTCCTTGAAAGAATTTGACAATTTAGATCGAATGACAACATTTGAAATGATTCAAAGAAGACTAGCTCTCTTGAAATTGTGCTCAAAGATCTCGAAAAATGATTTCAGAATTTAAATATAGATCAGTCACAGCGTTGCATGAATTGAAATTGATCGTTGATCAACAGGAAGTGAACGAATTGAAAAAACGAATTGATCAACTTGGTAGAGTATATTCTTCTTCTCCATGCGATGAAATATCTCAAAATTTATCAAATCCCAATGAATGGTTGTATGACCATTCTCAAGTATATCTCTCGAATGACAACAATGTTGTTCGTTTGGTTAAAAAAGCTGAGAATAATACGTATCCTCTTTCATTTAATAATACCAGAATGGAAATTGGAATTTTTAAATGGAAAGTTAAAATATCAAAACTGGGATGGATTGGTGTTGGAGTGTCCACTGAAGAAATTGTATCCTCTCGTCAGTTTGGTGCCTTTGTCAATCCTTATAAATCTCACAAGTCCTATCTAATAAGCTACATTGGATACACTTATAGTATGGATTTGAACGAAAATCAAAAAGCGAATGGATTTAAATTTACAACAGGTCATGAATTGGAATTGGAAATGAATTGCAACACACGACAATTAACCATTCGAAAGTTAGGAACTAATGAGTCGTTTACATTCAACAATGTTGTGTTGCCAGTATATCCTTCGGTTGTGCTTCGTTTTCGGAATGACTCAGTGACATTTTAAAGCAGTTTACAAAGAAGTTGGAGTTCCAATATTTCAATTTTTTTGTCATCTGAAATTACAATAGATTCAATTAAACACCACATCCTTGTATGTGAGAAGTACTTTTCATTTGCTGAAGGATAAAAATTCACGATCTAGCCTGTTGGACTTAAGGCACTGCTTTTGTATCAAGAAAACCAAGTTATTGCAATGAAAACTGTTGACCACAATACCCTCAGGAAACATGCAAGAATTCCGTTTACAAAATTACCTCACACGGAATGCGGTTAAATTCAAAAAAAAATCCACATCAACATGATTCTGACACCCAGCATCCACTTTTGTTCCATCTGCACAAACGATGGATTTGATGACATACCAGCAGAATTTTGTTGCGAGACTTGTCATCAACATCTTTGTCACAAAGACAGCCGAATTCACACAAAACAATTTCCACAACATTTGATGAGAAAATTGAATGATCAAATAGTAACACCATTGCCAACACCATCGGTCTCATCACACTTCTGTCATTTGCATCAATGTCCGATCAACACATTTTGTAAGACTTGTCGTCAAGTTATTTGTTCTGGTTGTTGTGTGAGTTCTCAACATAAATCACATGATTGTTATTTGTTGAGTGAAATTGATCAAGAAATGAGACAAGAAGTGAAGAAGGAACTTGACAAACTACGTGAATTGAAAACAGAATGGGAATTGAAATGTCACACAGATGATACAAGTTTGGATCAAGAAATTGTTGAAATTGAAAAACAGAGACAAGTGTTGAAAAAAGAAATGGACACAGTATTCGATGAGTTACACCAATCTTTGAGAAAGAGACATGACACAATGAATGAAGAATTGGATAAATTGTGTCAGGAGAGAATTTGTATCATTTCAAAAATTAAAGAAATGAAACAACAGGCAGAGCATTCTAAGAAAGAATTTGACAACTTAGACAGAATGACAACATTTGAAATGATTCAAACGAAGACTAGCTCTCTTGAAATTGTGCTTAAAGATCTCGAAAAGATGATTTCAGAATTTAAATATAGATCAGTCACAGCGTTGCATGAATTGAAATTGATCGTTGATCAACAGGAAGTGAACGAATTGAAAAAACGAATTGATCAACTTGGTAGAGTATATTCTTCTTCTCCACGCGATGAAATATCTCAAAATTTATCAAATCCCAATGAATGGTTGTATGACCATTCTCAAGTATATCTCTCGAATGACAACAATGTTGTTCGTTTGGTTAAAAAAGCTGAGAATAATACGTATCCTCTTTCATTTAATAATACCAGAATGGAAATTGGAATTTTTAAATGGAAAGTCAAAATAGAAAAACTGGAACGGATTGGTGTTGGTTGGATTGGTGTTGGAGTTTCCACTGAAGAAATTGTATCCTCTCGTCAATTTGGTGCCTTTGTCTATCCTTATGAATCTCACAAGTCCTATCTAATAAGCTGCAATGGATACACCTGGAGTATGGATTTGAACGAAAATCAAAAAGCGAATGGATTTAAATTTACAACAGGTCATGAATTGGAATTGGAAATGAATTGCAACACACGACAATTAACCATTCGAAAGTTAGGAACTAATGAGTCGTTTACATTCAACAATGTTGTGTTGCCAGTATATCCTTCGGTTGCACTTTGTGGGCGGGATGGGTCAGTGACATTTTAAAGCAGTTTACAAAGAAGTTGGAGTTCCAATATTTCAATTGTTTTTTTTATCTGGAGTTGAAATGATTCGTTAAGGGAAGCATCTTTCGGTATTAGCATAAATCTATTGTAATTCAGTAATCCATCTATTAAATACTTTCAAGTGAAGAGTTCACTCTTTGGTTATGCCATACTTAGCATTCAGCTCATCAACAGAGTATATGGTGTTGGATTTTCAAACAAGAATGATACTGAAGCTGTACTCTCTCATAGGATTGTACTGTTACAATGAACAACTACATCCACTTTAGCAGACCTTGACGAATTTAGGAAATAACCAGATAATGTACCAATACCAATATTATAAGAAACATTCAGTGGAAAAACCCCATTCACAAACTTTAAAAAGAAGGGTATTATTAGAGTTCCACATGGAGCCAGCTTTGGTGACTACATTAACACCCTCAGAATGACCCAATATATTCATTCTGGTTGTGTTGACATCAGAGCGTGAAGCTAAAAACTTCAAGCCAGCATAGGCATCACGTGCATAATCGTCCAATGTCAAAATATTTAAATTATACAATGATCTATACAATTGAGAAGCGCCTCAAGAGGTGACAATCAATTGGCAACCAGTGCACAACTATCAGTGTTTTTGTTTCATCCGATAACGAAGTTTATTTTGCTGATATTTGGAACTATAGAATTAGAAAAATTCTCACAAACGGAATGATCACAACAATTGCAGGAAATGGAACTAAAGGATACAATGGAGATAGTCCTTACCAGCCATCCCTTTCACATTTCTCTCCTTTCTTTTCACACATTTCGAAACATGAAAGAGACATGATTCCCAACACCAAACTCATTGTTTTTCAACCACTTTTTGAAAAACTTTGTCCTCATTTTCATTCCACCATTTTGAAAGATTTTAATTTACTTTCTTCCATGTCTTGTCGTGAACATGAATTAATTCAACATATCATTGATTTTGTTTTATATGACCCAGACAAGCTTGTGGAACCTATAATGACTTGTGAAATTATTGAATACTTGTACATTTTGGGTCTAGCTCAAGGTGAATTTATGGAATTGAAAAATTATTTTATTTTAGTGTTATTAGAGAAACACATTACATCTGAAAATGTCATTGACACATTATTGATGATTGAACAATACTTGACAAAACAACTCTCTCATTCGATCATGCTCAAGTTAAAGAATTATTGTTTGGAATTTATTCAAATCAAATTAAGAGAAGAGTCTTATATTATAAGAGATCCAAGACTCATTCCTTACGATGTTGAAATTCTTGAAAAATGTTCAAATACAACTATAACCCCCATCGTTCTTGAAGACTCAATTGAAAATCCAATACCACCAGATGAAATCATAAAGTCATTGTGGAATGACAAACGTACGAGTGACATTCGAATCAAACTCTCACACAAGAAGAACAATTCCTTTATTTATGCTCATCGAACCATCTTGGGTTCTCGTGGAAAACTTTTTGAAGCCATGTTTAACAGTGGGTCACAATTGGAAGATCTGAAATATGATGAAAAAGATGAAATTTTCACACTCATTCCTTCCACACCTCAAGATGCAATTAGTTTGGAATATATTGTCAAATATTGTTATAATCAATTGGAACATATTGAATCAGAACATGCCGCTTCACTCATTTTGACAGCATCAGTGAATGAAATGCCAGAATTAGTTTCTCTTGCGTTTAAATCCATTCACATTGATTGCAGTAATTATTTTGAATTTGCAAATTCATTGGATTTTGAAAATGATTTATTTTCAGATGTGATTCAAATCATGGTTGATTTTGGAGTGAATCATAGACATGAATTATTCAATGAAAACTCTGACCTTGATCAATTACCTGCTTCTCTCTCGCACAAACTAGTTGTCAAGTTTGCAAACATGTAATTTCCACACTTCTATGGTTGTGTTTAATTAGATCAAATCAAATTCCAGAAAATAACATTGAAATATTGGACGCTAACTTCTTTGTTTACTTTAAAACGTCCTTGCATCATTCGGTAAGCACTTCTCGCAATGTAATTCTTTCATTAGGATCCAACATCAACATTCTCGCAACAATGTCAATAAATTCTTCTGAATACGATGTCGTCGTCGCATCTTTCAAACTTTCCACTTGAATCAACTTCTTTTTCAGAAATTTCTTCATATCTTCACCTTCCATACAGAATTGAGCCAATGCCAATGTCGTGTTACAAGTCATCAATTGAAACAGCGTCACTCCAAGTGCAAACATGTCACTATGCACAGAAAAAGGTGCAATTTCTTGATTGGAATGTTTGGAATGAATTAATTCAGGAGCCATAAATAACAATGTTCCAGGTCGAGAACCATGAGTGGTGAGGAGATCGATCGATTTGGATAATCCGAAATCTGCCAAAGCCACTTGAATAGTTTCAGTGGACAAGTCGTAATCACGTACGAGAGTGTTTCCTGGTTTGATATCTCTGTGACATTTTACCAAATGTGAAATATTGTAAATGGTGATTTTGTAAAACGAAAAATAATTATTATTTTCAATTAATTTTGTGGTAAAAAAATTCGTAATAAACAGAAACTCACCGATGTAAAATATTATGTTGAGTAAATATCCAATTCAACGCCTCACATAATTGTCGTGTCACTTGTCTCAACATCTTTTCAGACAATTTCACTTTTTTTTCAATAAATAATGACAATAAACTTCCTTTCATCAATTCCATTTCAATACATAAACTCGACATGACATTGGGTGCAAACGCATCATAAATTTGAACAATATTTGGATGTGAAAATTTGGACATGTTCAAAGCTTCTCGAAGTGCAGAATTGAAATTTTCAATGTCATCGAGTCGTAATTGTTTTAAGGCCTTTTCTTTTTTGGATTTGAGATCAATGACGTGATAGACAACGCCAAATCCACCCCGTGCAAGGTATGAAATTTTCTCGTATTTGGATTGTAAATATTTTTCAATTTTCGAGAGTTCATCTTGTTGATTAGTGACACTTCGGGTTGTGTTGGATTTGTTGCTTGTTTGTTGAGAGGAATCAGCATGGAAACTTCCAATGTATCCAGAGTTAGGGAAGACAGAACTATTATTCTCACTCTTACTCGATGAAGAAATGATAAATTCTGAATTTGGAAATGCAGAACTAGAATTCATGGAGTGAATTCTCAACTTTTCAAAACTGTGATCCTTGTCAGAATTTCCTTCTTTTTCAAATTCTTGGCTCTTTTCACTACGTGAATGAACTGTTGAGCTTGCTGAAGAAGATAACTGTCTTTTTGATCCCGTTGTCATGGAAACTCGAATAAATTTGTTCTTATATTCGACATTGGAATCTTTGAAAAATTCCATAAAATCCTTGACATCATGATCATTGTAAATAACAATGTCATCACATAAATTGGTATCGAAATAGGTCAAAATAATTTCGGTTTCATGTTGTAGTAATAACAATTCACTAAATATTGTCTTGACATTGTGCACGAGAGATTTGAAGGAATTTCCTTCTATGGTAATTTTTGCATTCTTTTTTCCAAATTTTTCATCATCGAGCTTGACAAGAATTCGTTCTAGTGTCGAATTTGTTACTGTTTCAACTATTTTCATTTCCGATTTTGCTTGCGTTGACAACACTGACTGATTTCTTAAATCATTCCAATCGACAGTACCAACTGTCAAACTGTCAATTGTTTGAACATCATTTTTCTTTTCTTGTTTCAAACTTGTCTTTGCCCTTGTTTCCACATTACTTCCGATCTTCTTTGTCAATGACACATCCACAAGAAGTCTTTCCAACACTGTTCGTCGAAATTGCAAATCACTTTCTTTTCGACATGCCTCAATTCCCTTTTCAATAATGACATCAATATCTTTCATCAATTCTTCATCATTTCTCAACTCTTCTGAAACAAGAGATAATACTGCTGGTTGATTGGCGGAAGATTGTTTCATGTACCACCACAACGATGACTTGTCAGAAACCAATGTTGGATGATACACTTGCAACACTAGTTGTTTCACAGCTTCCAATACAATTTGTTTATCCATTCGCAATTCATCACTGGCAATGTATTGTAATGCTCGATAATCATATGTGACAGCTGCCATTACAATTTCTCGATCTTTTCGAAATTCCAAATTTACATAACCTAAAGCCGTGTGACCATTTTTGGTTTTCTGAACGGCCATCAAGGCAAGAGAACGATCTTTCTGAAATTCCACACTCGCATATTGCAATGCAAATCCATCAGAATTCACAGCAGCTTGCACAATTTCACAATCATTTCTATATTTGGAATGTGCAAATTTCAAAGCTTGTCCTTGTGATTGAACTGCTTGTAACACCACTTGTCGATCTTCACGTAATTCTTGAGAAGCATATTCCAGTAAATAACCTTCCAATTGAACGGCCTTCAACACGAGAGATTTATCAGATCGACACTCATCGGAAGCGAAACGAAGGACCCAAGGTGTTTGTTGAGTGATGGCTTTCAGAAGGAAGGTTTTATCTCGTTTCAAATCGTCGGGAGCGTTCTGAAGAGCACGACCAAAGGAGGTGCCAATGTCGTTCAATAGTTGTTGTTCGGCTTGAGCGGAGAGACGAGGAGGAGTTTTTCGAATTTTGTTGGTGAAGAGGGAGAACATTTTGGCAATTTTTTTAACAATTGTAAAATAATATAACCTTTCAATGTTATAAACAATGACAGTTCAGTGAATCATAAACAGACTGTTATCAATGTGTATAAACGGATTTAAATGAATGAAAAAAAGCAGTTGAACTCATTGGTCATGTTAATTATTTGAATGAATATTACAACACCACAGCTTGCTGTATGGAATTCCCTTCCCATGTGTTTACCAAACTCTCAATTTGTTTTCGTGTCTCTTCGAATTGCTCCGTTGGCTTGATATATTGCAAGAAAAACACAATGTTATATAATTGTCTTTGGAAGGTCAAGTTGAATTTTTGTGTCACTGGTTCCAATACTCTCCAAACGTCTTGTGGTAGCTCATTAAAGTTGGTCACAAGCAAATATTTCCAAAATCGGAGGAATTTAGTTCCTTCGTCGGTCTTTAAAAAGTTGATGGCACATGTTGTGTAAAAATAGGTAAATGCAATCATGCTTTCATATAGACGGTTCTTTGGATCTTTTGCATTTGAAATAGTGTTATCCTTGTTGAAATCATATTGGAAGAAAGGAGCGTCAGATGAGTTTTTCATGTGATCCTTGATGGCTTGAGCCCAATGCCAGGTTAAAGCATCTTGAGACTCCAAATATCTGGAAACTGGAACAGAATCCATAAAGAAAAAGTCCTGGTGCAATAAAAACATTGGATTCAATGGCTTTCTCTCACAAAGATTGGTCAAGAATTTTGCATAGGGCATGTTTGCATTCCAAATATTGGCATACTTTAAGAAACTCATACAATAGTGCGCAGAGTTGGACTTGATCTCATCATAAAGCATGTTTGCATTCCAAGAACAGTTGAAATCTGAAAATTTCTTAAGGAAGCTCTCAATTTCCTCATTTTGCCTAAACACAGCAACATCTTGATTATAAAAGGTTTGATAATGGAAATTGGGCTTGTGTTCGTGATCCGTTGAGGTAATTAATTGAGTCTCTGAATCAAATTCGATAATATACTTGGCAATAAAGAGAGCTGCTTTCAATTTGGGTGTAGTTGTTTGTGGCGAATTTTGAGATGCGTTTTGATCATAGGCAATAAATTTGACTTTCAAGTAAGGTGCCTTTTTTGCATCCATGTGTCGCTTGGAAATGTCAAGAATAGAGGCAAGATTGGCAGTTGGAATTAAGGAATTGCACACATTTTGGCTGATCATGGTGTCGTTTGAACTTGCTGTAGGTGGTTTTGGCAGTCGATCGATGGAGGCAGCATGTTTCACTTTTTGATAGACACGTTCAATCATGCCATCAATTCTTGATGCCGGTTGTTGCATTTCACTGATTTTAGTTTTCATGGTTTCCACAATGTTATTGGTTCTTACGTCTGCATTTTCTTCCTCCTTTGGTAATGGTTGCGTAGTTGTGCCGCTACTCATGCCACCACCGCTACTCACTGATGTTGTTATTGATGAAGAGGGTGTGTGGGTTAACCTCAGCTCTGAAGAAGTATTGGCCCATACAGGAATGATGGGTTCAATACCATTTTGTTTGAGAACATTGACTAAAGAATCCCAATTTCTCAGCTTGAAATGTCCAGCAAGGTTGAAACCAAGTAAATCACGAGTGTTGGCATGTCTCGTTAAAAAGTTTCGAATGATGACTTGATAGTTGGAACCTTCTTCAATAGAGCTCAAGACTTGAACAAAACTTTGCAGAACGTTCATCATTCCCATCACAGTTCCAATGTTTTGTGTTTGCTGTTGATGCTGTGACTGATAGGATCCTGAAGTGGTGTATTCGCTAGTATTTCCTTGATAATTTCCTTGCATAATATTAAGCGGGAGTGACATTGAGAAATTTGGAGATGGTTCGACAAATGTGTAAGTAGCGCCATTGGACTGTATCACTGTTTGATTAATAATCACGACAATATCACACACAATGTCTACAGGTACCACACTTTGCACATCAGGGGTAATGATGAGAATCATAGCATGTGTGTTATCGCTCAATGCCAACGTACCAGTCACCAACACTGGTTCAACAGTCACACCAATCATCTTTGGAACGAATTGGACTTGAATGCTGACAATTTGTGGCCATAGTTGCAAGGTACCTGTTCTATTGTTTGAAAGTTGCAAATATATATTATTGGGATCTCTATTGTGCTTATATCCATGAGGAAAGTGAATTGCTGAAACTGTCAAATCAGTAAAATCAGGGTTCTCTGATGTAAAATCTGCAATTAATTGTTCAGATCATAGTCGGTCAACGTGATTGGAATTTGATCTGTTGGAGAATCAGAAATCAGCATTTCTGTAGTGCTCACATTGGGTGGAACTTGCGATTGTTGGTGAGGTGTTACGGGCAGTGTTTGTGCTGATGGATGAGGTGACAATTGTTGAGATGAAGAAGGGGTCGATGAACCCACAGATGCAATCGTTTTTGGCGAAATGCTATGGAGTTTAGAAATGACTGGAAATGCTGACTTGGTTCTCCTGTAGGGTTGTGATGATTGCACAGTAGTTGAGGAGCGTAGGGCCACACCTTGTTTTTTGAGCTCTGTAATAAATTGAGATTCTTCAAAAGGGGAGAAATGTAGCAAGCATTCACACTTGTGAAGGCTCTCTTATTTTCATTTCCAGTTTCGTGAGATTTCAGGACTCGTATGGTCACATAAAATTCCTTAATTTGATCACCCAAATCCAAAGTAAATGGTAACACAATGAATTTGATTTGTTTTCCGGGATTCTTTCCATATTTCGAGCAAGTCAATGACAGTAAAGATTGATTCACCCCACGCTCAAACTTGCATTTTAAATTGTCAGCACTTTGAAGAATGAGCTCCACAGATCTCAATTCAGGATTAATGAAACTATCATTGACTACATTGGTATGCATATGGGTGCTATTAGAAATATTACTCGATTCTCCACAGGGCTCACAGAGGCAAACACTCGCATACGACTCCATCAATTTCAAGTAACCTCCGATCAGGCTTTCCACTCGGAAAGCATTATTCCTAATGTTGTGAAGCCCTTGATGCAATATATTTTAATTAACGGAAAGGTGGATTTTGACTGTGGTCAAAGAGAATAACACTCTCATCAATTCCTCCACTACTACTTTGCGAAGAAGACTCCGAATGAGGCGATGATTTTTGCATTTTTTTTTCACGTTTTTTTGTTGAACGAAACTAAAAAGGAAATTCATTCCTGTTTTAAAAATGCAAAACGTGATTAGGAAATAAAATCGTGAATAGGAAATCAGTAACACGTATGTGCCATTCGAATTAGAGAGAACAACAGTTGTTGATAAACGTGTTTGATCGAGAAAGATAATAATATGTTACACTTCATCAAAAACGTGATCATCAACTTTTCATCTCAATTCATGTAAATCACGATCAAAGATTAAAATATGGAAAAATCAAAAATTTATCCTTAATTAAAAGACAAGCCAATTCGTTTCACAACATCCGCAAAGATGTGTTTGTAATTCTCAATTCCCCAAACTAAATCAATATGTCCATAATCTGGTAAAAACATGACATTTTTCACACGTTCCTTTGGAACCAAATTAATAAAAGTTTGGAAATCTTGAACGTCTCCCAAAACATCCAATCCTCCATGATAAATCGCAATGTCGACATGTAATTTTGTCAAATCAATTTGAGGAACACCAAATTGATGATAATGTTGATAGTTGTTTGCACCATTTCCATAATCGAACATTTGGAATTTTGCTGAGCGAATGAGTTGAGCCCAATGTCCAGCATTATAAGTTGAAGTTCCAGCTGGTAATCGATCCATGTAAAGTGGTAATCTTGTTTGATTGCATTTGGTCACTAATCCATCACATCCGCTCATCAGACAATAAGTATTGAGACAAACAGATTTTTGTAAAATGGAATTGGAGCAAATTCCTGGAATCCATTTTTCAAGATCTTGAGTCGTTGGTAAAAATTCATAGACTCCCAAAAGCTCTAATAATTGGTCGACGTGGAATTTGGCAAGCGCCTTGGCCAAGTCAGATCCAACATGTTGGAGGAAGGTCACAGGAGCAATGGCAATGAAAATTGAAATTTTGTCTGTAAAATCTTTAGGACAGGCTGGGTATTTGGTAGAAGAATCAGCCATGCTCGTGAAACATTCAAATGCCATGGTGGTTCCTATGAGAGTAGGTGTGAATATCCATTTGAAAATCGTGACCATGTGGAATTTACCAAATATGGAGAATTAAGAATTCAATGAGAACCAAATACAAAAAAATAACAAACCTTGTGAATGTCCAACATAGGCCAATTTCTGTTGACCGCTCACTCTCAAAGCATAATTGACCATTGCAGGTAAATCATAGGCAGCTATTATTTTACAATATTATTGTTATTGGTTGACAGTATTTTGATATTGGAGTACTTACCCATTTCATCCCATGAAAATTGCCAAAATTGTTTATCCTTATTGGTATAATGAATATTTCTATTGCTGTATTCGTTGCCTCGTACATTTCCAAGCCATACATCTAATAATGAAATTTATAGTGAGTAAATTACCAGTTAAGGAAATGTGAACATGATTTCACATATATTCATGAGAAATGATGTTGTTATTGTTGAGTCATAATGTCTCTTCAAAACTTACCATATCCAGCATCGGCCAAAATAAATCCCAACGATTGATAAGGCAAATTATTGACCCAAGTAGAACTACAATCTAAAAATCCATGTTGTAAAAACACCACTCGACGTTGAGCTTGAGGAATCATTTTACTCGTTGCACTTCGACCGTGTGGAATTCTCTGACTGTGAATGGTTGTAAACACACACACATTGTTCACAATCATGATCATAATGATCAAACATTGAATATAACACATGAATTGAAACAATCATGATTTCATTTCAACAAACGCATTCATCAATGGAATAGTTCAATAAATGTGTTTGAGCGATCATCATCATCAAAAAACACCAAAAATTATTTGAGGATCGTCATCATCATCATCAGATACATGTTGAAACGAATGGCACACACAAAAACCTACACCGACAAAATAAAACCATCTTCTGTCTGTACATAATGTTGCTCGACGGGATAACCCCAATATTGAATGAGTTGGGTTACGTTGGATCTTGGATCTTGAGCGAGAACAAACGAGTCTGTATTGAACGATTCCAACAGCACCAACATCATCATGAATGCAACAAGAGATGCCAAGAGAAAGACTCTCCCAACGGCGAGCGTTCCGACCATGGTTTGTGGTTTCGTTGTTATGGAGTGAGGGAGCTTTGAATTTTTTTGAATGATCAAAAGTTCGGAGTTTCAGATGACATGAAAGGCGCCTTGTTGTAAAAACTGGGTCAGTTCAGCAAGAAAATCTCACACATGAAATCAAACAAACTTTATCAAACAATGGTTATTTACAACACATGTAAAGAAAACCATCAGGATGTGCACAATTTTCAATGAGCCACAACAGCTCCGTCTCTCGATGAGGTTCAACTCCTTGAACAACTGCTCTTTCAATACTGAAAATTGTTGTTTCTTGCTGTTCTCCAAAATATCCAATCTTCTTTAACCGAGGAATGACATGTTGATCGAGAAATCCTTGCAGTGTGAGCGTTTTGGCAGCCTCCCGTTTCACACAAATCATATTCTTCTTGTATTTGAGTGCGTGTTCACCTTTTTTATGATCATGTTGACCGTTGTGAGTGGAATCCGAGCTTCCTTCCTTATGACTTGATCCTTGTTTTTTAATGGGCGTATACACTCGAATGGCATAGACCATTTCTTCCACAGATGATATTTTAGAACCTTGTTTGATCTTTTCAAGTAATTTTGTAAAACTTGGTTCGTTTTGTGTCTTGACGGTTTGCCATAATTCTTTTTGATCTTCATTGCTGAGAGTCATCATGGCCGATGTCGAGTTGAAACGTATATACATGCATTCCTTAATGTTGTTGAGATGATTCCATTGAGCATCTTCTTCACTGTTGCAACGCACCACAGTATCACTTGGAAAGTTTCCTCCAAAATTTGCAACCAATGTCCATGGTAATTTCAGTGCTATGAAGTGGTGATGTTGTGATGTTCATAATAAAAGCGATTGTGTCAAATAAGAAAATGATCCATAACATTGACATGATCATCATGTTATTGTTGTTGAAATATTTCCGATACGTTTGATGAATAAATGTTGTGTGTCATTATCAATAGTTGTTAACAAAGGGCCATAATTATCAAAATCACCCATTTGTATCAATGAATTAATCACATAGTGAATAACACAGTGAAATGAATAAACGAAATTTGTCAAAACATTCGTTCTGTAAAAATACATACAATCAGGATCTAATATTCCCATCAAATCATATAACACTCCTGCTGGTACATGCCATTGCATCGGAATTGAATTAAAACTAAACCAAAGCTGATCGGAATCGAATCCCGAAACAAAATCAGAAAAGTGAGACTTTACTCTCTCAATTAATAGAGATAGATAGGATTGTCTTGGAATCATGACCTAACAGAGAGAGAATTTTGAAAAACGATTTTGTCCAATGTTTGGAATATTCCAAAGGATGGATCATCATGGATAGAGAAATTCAAGAGCATGTATAATTTCATTATTATATTTGTTTAAAACCCATCACACGTTCAATAAATAAATAATAATTCAAATCATCACCACCGACACGATATTCGAAAATCGTGATCATAATTAAATCATCATCGCTGTACTTACATAATACGGAAACGGTTGTTGAAACGATGCTATTTGATCCGAATGTATATTAATCACGGTAGGAATGGCTCCCTCCCATAGCTGCTTTCGCATCAGAGCATCATCAGTCGATGCCTGTGTTGCCGTACTGGTATTACTCATGTGAGGCGATGATTTGGATATTTTTGTTTTGACTACGAGTGTACTCAACTCAGCAAAGATCGTCAAGACCTTCTAATTCAAAATAGCGTGTAATTGGAATCTTAATCCAAAAGCACTTGCAATAATTTATTTATTATTTTGATTAGGTGGGTTATGGGATTGCAACAAGGATGTTGGATCAAAGTTTAAAAGTGTGGGTGAGTTGCTGTTGAAGGGAAGGAAAGACATTTGGTTGAAAGAAATCTGTTGGTTTTGTTGTGGATTCTGAGGGTGGTAAGCTCCTAGAGGAGAAATTTGCTGCTGTTGTGGTTGTACATTGCCACTGCTAATGCCTTGGGGAGGTGTCATACCACCACCCATCATATTTTGAGGCATGACAACCCTTGCAGATTGTGGTGTTTGTGGTGATGACATGCTTGTTGTGCCTGGTTGGTTCCATTTTCTCAACAATGAGGCTTGTAAATTAGTACTAGCTAAATCATTATTCAAAAAACCAGAGTTGAGAAGTGTTCTTTGTGTTGACAAGCCAGCGGATGCCATTGGATTTTGCGCTTTGAGTGTTTGTTGCTGCTGAACGAGGTTGAGTAAAGAAATAAGCTGTTCCATATCCTGTGAATTTGATTGAGGGAGAGACGTTTGTGTTAGAGGTGGAGTTGGTTGCTGCTGTTGTGGTGATGGTTGTTGCAGCGGGTTGCTGATTTTTGTTCCATTTGTGCTCCCATGTTGACCATCATCAAGTTTGAACCTCCCATGTTCACACCACCCACTTGACCTGTCGGTAGGTTCGTTTGTCCCAAAGGATGTTGTGACAGTAGGGCATTTCGTTGCATTTGTGGTACAAGATTAGACTGATGCTGGGGTGGATGACTCATATGTCCAACTGGTTGTTGTGGTTGTGAGGAAGCACCACTAATGTTAGCACCTCCACCCAATAGCTCATCGTTCATGAGTATCTGCAAAAATGATTGTTGAGATGATTGCATGTTTCCAGCTCCCATTGCACTACTTTGTGGAATATTTTGTTGCAACATGAAGGGTTGATCGATATTGCTGCCTAGTGAAATCATACCCATCGATGAGGCTGATGATGGATTAGTTCCAATATTGCTGGTGCCAGTAGTGACAGGTTTGTTCAGTTGATGATGACTACTGATCATTTCAAGAAGATTGCTTGTTGTTGTTCGAGGCATGCCAACATTCATGGAAGGGGAAGTAGATGCATGCTGTGTTTGAGCAAGTCCAAAAGTTTGAGATGTCACAGGCATGCCATGTGTTGGTTGAGACAAAACTGTTGGGGTTTGTGATAAATGTGGTTGCTGTTGTTGTAGTGGTTGTTGAGCAATCGCGCCGCCAACTGCAGTACTAGAAATTGGTTGTTGATTTGGTTGTTGAATATTTTGAAGTGTTGTTGCGGAGGAACTACTACCTGCATTGCTCGTGCTGTCTGCAACTTTGGGAGTAGAGGCCTTCTTTTTCTTCTTCTTTTCAGGCTCAGGAGGAAGAAAGTCTTTCGATGGTCCAATTTCATCAAAATCAAGCAAGTTATCAGCATCAATGGTTGACGTCGAGGCAACAACTTGAGAAGAAGGTGCTGCAGCTTCTTCCTTAGGTTCTGAATCCTTCTCCTTCTTTCTTGATCGTTTCTTGGAGCTTGACTTTTTCTTTTTTGAAGATGCCTGAACTGGAGGTTCAGAAGGGGGTGATGAAGAAGATGTCATTGTGACCGCACTGCTTGTTATTGGTGTTGTGGAAGAGACATTAGAAAACATGACAGAAGGGGATGTAAGTACAGTAGGAGTGCTTGTGGCTGTGACGGTTGAGGAAGTAGTGCCTGCTGAGGGAATAGCATCTGTGGATGAGGAGGCTTTCTTGGGTTCTCTCTGTTTTTTAGGTTGCTTTTCATTCCACACTAATACTTCTTCAGCATGATCCAAAAGTAAGGTATAAACTGAATATGACATCTTTTTTTCCTTTCCGACTTTTCGTGTTGATGGTGTAGGCTTCTTTTCCTCTCCAGTAATTGCTCTCCATTCTTCAGGTGACACACGGCGAAAATATTTAGAGTTTGTACTGAGGTTGTGACGAACGCTGCTTTTCCAACCAGTCTCTGCAGGATCATAGAATGGATAATTCTCAGAAATCCAAGCATATATGGATTTAAGCGGTAACATGTAATTTGGAGCCTTCAAAAGAGCATGTGCTATCATGGCAGAGTATGGAACATCTGGTTTTTTGTTTGTGATTGGTCCAGCTGGAAGTGAGGGAATGGCAGCAAGAGCAGACAATAAACTAGAGCTGGGTTGTTGAATGAGTGGAATTTGAGGTTGGGTGGTGCCAGTAGTGCTGCTCGTTTGAAATTCTTCCATCTTGAAGTCCTTAGTCATATTGGAGGTGCTAGCTTCAGCTGTGGATGATTTTTTCTTCTTCTTTTTCTTTTCTTCCTTCTTTTCTTCTTTTCTTTCCTCACGACTCTTTTCGGTGTTCTTGTCTTCCACAATGTGCTCAGTTGCGGATTTTTCCTTTTTCTTTTTACTGGCATCCTTCTTTCCGTCTTGTTTACCGGCGTCCTTACTTGATTTCTTCTTCTTTTTCTTTTCTGTGTTTGCTATTGCAGCCACAGGTTCAGCAGGAGGTGCAGAAGTGGTAGTAGTGGTAGTGACAGCCATTTCAGTAGTCGTCACAGAAGCATTTATGCCTTGTGACTGAGAGTTGACAATATTTTTCTCCATATACGTTGTGGTAATATTGTTTGTGCCTGCGATGTTGCTTTGTGATGATGCAAGCATTGGAGTTGTGTCAACAAGTTCCTCAAGTAATTCATCAAAATCATCCAAGCTATCAGTAATTTGGCTTTGTTGAGTGTTGTTGATCTTAATTGATTGCGATGCAGTAAAGTCATTATGTTCGGCATTTTTTGATGATTTCGATTTTTTCTTTCTCGATTGAGTTAATGGCGGTGGCGGTGCAGATGTAACTGTTGTTGTTGTTGTTGCTGTCATATTTGCATTCTCCTCGTCAATCATTTCATCTTCAAGATGATGGTCATCATCCTCCATTGTTGTTGATAAATAATCAGAATATTCGGCATCTAGATGATTTCTTGAATGTAAATTGGCAAAAAAAGTGACCACACCATCTCTAACTATTGCGTCATTATCTTGTTTTGCCTTATATAAGAGAGAGGCAAGTTCTTGTTGTTCTGTTGCGAGAGCAGCATTCAGTACAAGATGTAAAACGGACTTGGTGTTCTTACACTGAGAATCCATACCATTCATTGTAGATCCTAAATAATGATTTACATTCACGTCCAAGTCCATCATGATTCTTGAAAGCATGCTCACAGCTTCAGGAGATTCGTTAAGGTCATTATCGTCATAGTTGTACAAATAATCGAGAACCATATTTGTATATGTGGGACTAGAAGTATTGGACTGCATCAGAAAATTTTTAACAAGATCTGTGTTATTCTCCAAATAAATTCCGGATAACGTCTGTGTAACGGCTGCTGTTAACGAAGGTCCAATACTTGATGTGAGAGATCTTGCCAAGGTACTTGCTTGTTCAGAAGAGAGAGGCGTCCCACCTCCCGCTAGACCATTCCCGAGGTTCCTAAAAAAAACATTCTTTCTACCGTCGTTTAGAAAAAAAGAACCATACTCTCCATCTGCTTCTTCAAGTGCTTCAATATCTTTTAGATAGTTCTTGGAGATGACACTTGTCATTTCATCTTGCATTAATGAATCAGATGGTCGGGTATCGTTGGGTGTCACATCAGTATTGTTTTGATTCACATCTCCAGAGTTTGATGTAGTGTCACCTTCAAGATTGTTGGAAGTGCTTTCATGAGCCATCTTATTTTTGATATGAATCATATGCATCATGTCAGAACGGGAAATCTTTTTCAATGGTAACATGAATGTTAGAAAACAATCACCTAATTGAATATCATATCCGTTGTGTAATGGAATGGGTTGAGAGTGAGGAATTGGAGGATAGAACACACCATTCACTTTGGCTCCGTTTTTAGAAAGAACATGTAGTTCAAATTGCTTGGAAAAAGTATTAAAAACTATCCTGGCATGAAGACGGGATATATTCTTATTTGTTCCTAGCGGAATATCGACGTCTTGTTCCCACAACACCCGTTGCAGGGTTTCTATAGATGGTGGAAAATTACTAGTGGTACTACTTGAACCATTGTTATTGTTGATCATGCCTGATGATATTTCTGATTCCATTCCCTCGTCCGCGTATGATTTTGGCTCAACGATCGAGGGATCAGGTACTCGGGTCCTTCCGAGGGTAACGTTCAGCTTTTGAATATAAAACTCTATATCTTGACCGCATAACTTTGCATAACCTTCATATGGATGCATTATGTTGAATGATTAATGATGGAAGGAGAGAGGAATTCAATGGCAGTGGTTGATGAAAGAGAATGCAAAACAACTCTAAAAAACGTTAGTGCAATTGAAAAGAAGGAGTGTTTTGCACGATTCGGGACCCGAAAAGAATACTAATGAGGAGTGATGATACTGCTGATTTGTACACGATTCAATACTATTACTACTATCAAGATAATAATAATAATATTAATAAATAAGAAGAAAAAGTATTGATGATGAATAAATATTAATGGGCAGTCTCCTTTCAAAGGTGGTTGGCTGCTCGTGGCGGAATAAAAAATGATGTTGTCTCTAACGACTGCGTACGATGATCGTCGAGTGGTGGTGATATTTTTTTGTAACTGAATAATTGTTTTTAATTCTTTAATGGTTTTGCTGAACAATAATAAAGATATTTTCTAACGAAGAAAGTAGTAGTCACTGCTTGGATTTCGGCATGTTGATTTCAGATCCAGGAGTGATGGTCTGTCTTTTTTAGATTCGGCTATTTTGGAACAGTTGATTTTGCATCTCTCAATACGACAAAACAAAATGGTGGAAATTAGTACAATAGTTCAAATCTTGTGGATATGGTCATTCGTTCAGAAATGGAATGTGTGTTGTGTGAACTTGTGAGATTTTATCCATGTTGTTGTTTGTAATTCTCGCAAACGCACACGCAGTTTTTCATAAGGCAGCCTGAGAGAATGCTTGTTGTTTGCACCAAACCAGTGAATGACAAATCACCAACCAAACAATTCCCACATCTGTCAACCATCAAAAAAAAATGTTTAAAAAACTCGGTCTGCTTGGGAAGAAGGACAACAACAACGCATCCTCGTCGTCATCCTCTTCCAACAACAACAACAATGGCTATCAAACCAAAGTCGATGTTTCTCCAGCCTCTGAAACTCCTCAACAACCTTCCACTCCTTCCGATGACAATGTCAAAAAATCAAGAACACCAGTTGCTCCGCAAGTCCAAGAAGTTTCGGCTCGTGTCAACAATATGAATCTCCCACAAAAGAAAAAAGAAGTTGAAATTGAAGAAAACGATCGAGGTGTTTCCGAACGAAATAAAACTGCCAGTGATGTCGTTCGAGCTGAGAGAACCACTGGAGATGAAGCATTGAGAGCAGTGGCTGGTCTCAGTGATGGTCTCGAAGATCAACAAGATGAATTAGATCGAAAAAAGAAGAAGAAGAAGAATAAGGATAAGGACAATGAGACATCGAGTGGTGCTGGTGCGGGAAGTGGATCTTCGCCCATCCTGTCGGAGAAGAAGAAGAAATCGACCATTTTGGGAGATTTATTGGGAATGGCTGCGAGAAGAGGATATCTTTCAAAGAGAGGTATGTATGATTGTGAAAATTGTAATGGTTTTTTTTGTGATGACATTTATATATATATTTCAATTATAATTCAATAATGTAAATTTCACAACTCATTTTGAAAACATGATCATCATGATTGTGTGAATCATGTCACACACATTGTTATGAACGATTTCACACATACGAATTGAAAATTCTCAAACATCAAGGTGGTTCTATCAAAACATGGCACAAAAGATTCTTCATTGTCATTGGTCATCGTCTTTATTATTACAAGGATGAATCTCCAAAGAATGAACCTCTCGGTTCTGTCAAGTGCAGAGGTCCAGAATGTGTACAACCTGTCGCAGATTCCAATCGTCCCTATTGTTTCAAAATTATTTCAGAAGAAAGAACCTTGTATTGTCAAGCAGAATCTGACACTGAAATGAACTCTTGGATTACCTTCTTGAGAGAACATACATCAAAATTGAATTTGAAAAAAGTCAAGGAACTTGCCACACTTCAAGGATTCATGTCACTTCTCGACAATCAAACAAAAAAGAAAAAGAGAGACGTCTATTGTTTATGTATGGATGGAAAATTCTATATTTTGAATTCGTATGATGATGTATTGCCAGATCGAATTGTAGAACTAGCTGGAGCGAGTGTGACAAAAGTGAGTTTATCTGGAACTGGCTCGACTCTTGAAACTCCAGCAACTCCTGGAAGTCCAAGAGAATCTCTTACAAAGAATCTCTCTGATTTTGCATTCCAAATTACAGAAAGTATTGCACACAATCTTCCTCCTGCAGAAGAACCCAATACTTCGAAAGAAGAAAAACAAGCGGCAAGAACCTCTCGTTCTGCATCTTCCTTTAAATTCCGTAAATCTGTGAAAATGGATCAGAGTGGAAATGCCAATTCTAAAGAAGGAACCAATGATGGATCTTCAACCAATCGATTGAGAAAGGGAACTCAATTCTTCCAAAATTTAGTGACTAGTATTGAAGGTCTCAATCAAGTGACACTCACTTCAGTAGATCCCTATTTGGCCGATGCTGAAATTTGGTGTGAAATTGTTCGTCACGAAGCAGAATTGGCCTCTACCAGTTGGTACGTGAGAAATTCACAAATGAGAGGATGGATTAAAATTCTCATGAACAATGACGAAGTCAACAAGGTGATTTTACAAGAAAAGAAACGACCTGAAGTATTGCATTGGATTGAAAGATATGCTTGTTTAGTGAGAGGAACCTTATTTTACTTTGTCGAAGAAAATTCACCAACTCCTGAAGGCAGTATTGTATTAACGACTGGTTCTCGATTGGTCACAAGTGCTGTTCGTGAATTGCATTGTCCCTATGCATTCAAAATTTCATCACTTTCTTCAAATTTTTACATTTCAGTCTATTCCGATGATGAAAAAGATTGTTGGGTCGATGAATTGAAAGAAGCTACTTATTCACAAACGAATTTGGATTACAACAAGTATGGTTGGTTGACCAAACAAGGAGGTTCCTACAAGTCATGGAAGGAACGTTTCTGTGTGTTGAAGGGAACTAATTTGTATTATTTCGCAGATCCTAATGATTCTGAACCAAAAGGAAAGGTCAATTTGAAGGGTCAAATGATTAGACACTTGACACCACAAGAAGCTTATACTGAAATTCAAAAAGATAACGTCATTAAGATTTATACCAGTCAACGTACTTGGTATTTCTTTGCCGATACCATGCAGGTAAGTGTGTGTGTGTGTGTGAATAGAATTTTGTGTGAATTTTGTGTGAACTTGATGTGAACTTGATGTGAATTTTGTGTGAATGTTATGTGAATGTTATGTGAATGATTAATGTCACTTGTCCATGGTTTGAATTTCATGAATTAATTTGTGACAATGACGACTACACACAATCCTTCTCTCTCACAACAGGACGCTGTGGAATGGTCTATTGCCTTAAGAAAAGCCGCTCTCCTCTATCGTGGCCGAACTTGGATTGTCGATGACAAACTCGATGGACTCGATCCCAAACAATCTCTCAAATGTAAATCCATTTCACAAGCTGTTGCCAAAGCCGCCGATCTCGATCGAATCATTGTCTACTCTGGAATCTACTCTGAAACTGTGGTCATTAACAAGTCAGTCATTATCGAATGCGTTGGAGATGTTGTGTTAAAAAAAGATGCAGGCGCTCCTCTCATTGTCGATTGCAGTGGAGCTGTCAAAGTCAGTAACATGAAAATTACACAAGAAGGAGCTCCTAAAGAATTACGTGGAGATAAACACGCAGTCGAAGTGAAACGTGGAAATATCATGTTTGAACATTGTCAAATTTTGAGTCGAGATGGAAATGGTGTCGTTATTACCGATGAAGGAGGTGTGACCATGAGCAAGTGTCGTGTTTTTGATTGTAATCATTATGGAATTTGGTTGAATGGAAAAGCAAGTGCTATTTTGGAAAATATTGAAATTTGTGGCTGTCAATGGGATGGTCTCATGCTCATGGCCAATACGGACTGTATCATTCGTCAATCCGATATTTTCAATAATTCTTACAATGGAATTGCAGTTTCTTCGAAAGGTCGATTGAATGTCGAAAATTGTAGAATTAGTGGAAATTTATGGGATGGAATTTCGATTAATACGGACAAGGGGGCTGCTCGATTGTTTGACAATATTATTTTTGACAATCAAGGATTTGGAATTTATTATGCAAAGGACAAAGTCAGTGGTATTAATGTGGACAATGAAGTGTATTCGAATCGAAAAGGTCAAATCTTTACCTTGGGTGGAACTTTTAATTAGATTCGAGTGTGTAGATTTGTAAATACTAATAAAGCCCAATAATCCTAATGACCACCACAACTATTATTTCTTATTTTTGTAAAAATACATTATTGTAAAAGCTCACAGAATCATTTGGGGAATGAAGGGCAATGGAAGGATATACAGGCAACTCTACTTGCTTAAATGTGACGAATTCACCACTTCCCACTTTTCGAATGGTTAATTGTTGTGTGTTGCAATTCATTTCCAATTCCAATTCACTACCTTTTGTAAATTTAAAACCATTCTTTCCATCATTTTCATTCAAATCTAAACTCCAAGTACGCCCATTGTGACTCATTAAAGAGGAATGATGAGGTTCAAAATGATAGATAAAGGCATTAAAACGTTTGGATGAAACCACTTCATGTGTGGACACTCCAACAGCAATCCAAGAAGCCAAATTGTCAATTTTAACTTTCCATTGAAATATTCCACTTTCCATTTTGGTATTATTAAACAAGAGTTCCATATTTGTCAATTTGTTGTTTCAATTCATTCAACTCAATCTCATCATTCTTCTATTTCATTTCATGTAATTCTTGAACGGATCCAAATTGAAATTCTGAAATCATCTTTTCGAAATCTTTCAGAACAACTTCAAGAGAGGTAATTTTCTTATGAGTCATGTCAAATGTCGTCATGGAATCCAAATGGTCAAATTCTTTCATTGACTTGTCTACTTGTTGTTTCAATTCTTTAATTTCAGAAATGATACAAATTCTCTCCTGACACAATTTATCCAATTCTTCATTCAATATTTCATGTCTATTTTTCAATAATTGATACAACTCGTTGAATACTGTGTCCATTTCTTTTTTCAACACTTGTCTCTGTTTTTCAATTTCAGCCATTTCTTGATCCAAGCTTGTATCATCCGTGTGACATCTCAATTCCCATTTCGATTTCAATTCCTGTAGTTTATCAAGTTCCTTCTTCACTTCTTGTCTCATTTCTTGATCAATTTCACTCAACAAATAACAATCATGTGATTTATGTTGAGAACTAAATCCACAAGCTGGACAAATTATTTGACGACAAGTTTTACAAAAAGTATTCATCGGACATTGATGTAATTGACAATAATATTGTGACGATGAATCTATACGAGTGACTTGTTGATTCATTTGCGCATCAACAAGATCAAAGTTTTCATAAAATGTTGTGAAAATTGTTTTGTGTGAAGTCGACTGTCTCGGAAACACAAATATTGATCACAAATTTCACAATAAAATTCTGCTGGAACATCATGGACACCAATTTCATTGGAACATGCGAAACAAGAGTGATTGGATTTGGTTGTGACGGCAAGAACTCTCATTTTTTTGTGAATGTTTACAATAGGATTGTCATCAAAAGTCGCACCAAATAAGATTAGAAACTCGTTCAATTTTTTGATACGTATTGAAATGTGCATTCGTTCTCTCGTTTAAACACGTGGCGAACGTGTTGCTCGCGATTCTTTCTGTTTCACTGACTGAAACTGCCTTACCAGATATAATTCAAAGAATGCAATCAGAACATAACAATTAAACACAAAAGGCAACTGAATCGTTGACGCTAGCCACCACCACTGAAGGATATACTGGCAACACTATGTTTTCGACTACAACCCATTCGTTACTTCTCGCTTTTCGAATAGTTAATTGTCGTGTGTTGCAATTCATTTCCAATTCCAGTTCGTCACCTGTTGTGAATTCAAATTCGTTGTCTTGGAAATTTTCATTCAAATCCATTCTCCAAGTACATCCATTGTAGCTCAGGAAGAAGGATTTGTGACAATAGTTTGGAAAAAGCTCGAAAATCTCTAGATTCTACAAGTTCTTGAGACGACACTCCAACACCAATCCAATGAGCTCTGTTTTCAATTTTCACTTTCCATTGAAATATTCCTCTTTCCATCATGGTATTATTAAAAACAAAATGATGGTTCGTCCCTCTTTTTTTGATAATCTTTACCACAGTGTCTTGAGTAGAAATTGTTATATTGGATTCATCGTATAACCATTCATTCGAAAGTTGTACAACTTGTAATGCAAGTGATAACCCACCCATAGATGAGTCAAGAGTTCCATATTTGTCAATTTGTTGTTTCAATTCATTCAATTCCTTCTCATCCTTCTTCCATTTCATTTCATGTAATTCTTGAACAGATCCAAATTTAAATTCTGAAACCATGCGCTTGAAATCTTTCAGAACTACTTCAAGAGAATTAATCTTGTTGCTCACCACTTCTAATGTTGTCATGGAATCCAAATGGTCAAATTCTTTCATTGACTTGTCTACTTGTTGTTTCAATTCTTTAATTTTTGAAATGACACAAATTCTTTCACAACATAATTGATCCAATTCTTCATTCAATATATCATGTCTCTTTTTCAATAATTGATGTAACTCATCGAATACAGTGTCCATTTCTTTTTTCAGTAACTGTTTCTGTTTTTCAATTTCAACAATTTCTTGATCCAAACTTGAATAATCAGTGTGACATTTCAATTCCCATTTCGTTTTCATTTCATGCAGTTTTTGAACATCCTTCTTCACTTCTTGTCTCATTTCTTGATCAATGTCACTCAACAAGACACACGAATGCGATTGGTGTGGAAAACTGAGTGCACAACCTGAACAAATTATTTGACGACAAGTTTTACAAAATGTGTTGATCGGACATTGATGTAATTGACAAAACGATACAGAAAGAGATGAAACGGATGGTACATTGGACGCGTTGACATTCATGTTCGTGGTTAATTTCTTCACAACATGTTGTGGATTTTTCTTGGAATGACTACCAGCATCTCCAATGCAGAGAAATTGATGACAAGTTTCGCAATGAAATTCTGCGGGAATGTCATCAATACCGTCGTTGGCACAGATAGAGCAAAAGGTGGTGGTAGAGTTGGGAACTCTCATATTTTTTTGTTTTGAAAATTCCAACGTGATGACAGTTGACAGGTTCAGGAAACTTGTCAAATGACTTTTCAGGCCAAGAAGCATTGAGGAGGCCTCAACAATACTCAATTTCCTTCAGGTCACGTTCATTAAGGTTTTCTACATCAATCGCATACGTGTGTCTTGTTGAGTGAAATTGATCAAGAAACGAGACAGGAAGTGAAGAAGGAAATTCAAGATTTGGAACGTTAAAGCAAAAATTGGAATGGAAATGTCACACAGATGATGAAAGTTTGGATGAAGAAATTGTTGAAATTGAAAAACAGAGAGAAGGTTTGAAAAATGAAACGGACACAGTATTCGATGAGTTACGCCAATCTTTGACATGATACATTGAACGAAGAATTGGATAAATTGTTTCAGGAGAGAATTTGTATCATTTCAAAAATTAAAGAAATGAAACAGCAGGTAGACAAATCAACGAAGGAGTTTGAGAACCTTGATTCAATGACAATTTTTGACATTGTTCAGACGAAAATCAACTCTCTTGATGTTGTGGGAAAAGATTTCAACAAGATGGTGTCACAATTTAGCTACAAATCCGTGAAACAATTACGTGGAATGAAATGGATGAATTACGAAAAGCAGTTGAACGAATTGAAACAACAGGTTGACCAATTTGGAAAGCTAGACCCGTCATTTCTCTCACCATCTTCAATCGAAGAAATTTCGAATGAATGGTTGTATGACGATACTCAGGTAGAGTTTTCAACTCAAAACACGGTGGTCACGTTGATCAAAAACACAGAAATGTTTGGCCGTTGCTTTGCATTTAACAACACCAAGATGGAAACTGGAATTTTCAACGGAAAGTTAAAATTGAACATTTGGCCAATTCGTTTTGTGTTGGAGTGACCACACATGAAGTTGTGACATCTCGACAGTTTCGTGCCTTTTTCCATCTGTACAATTCTAACAAGTCCTATTTACTGGCCGATCAAGGTCGAACCCTCAGTTTGAATTTACATGAAAATGCACAAACGCTCGGATTTCGTTTTACCACCGGTGACGTTTTGGAATTGGAAATGAATTGCAAGACACACAAATTAACCATTCGAAAAGTAGGAAGCAGCGAGTCCTTTACATTCAAAGATATTCATTTGCCAATTGCACTTCGCTTTCGGAATGATTCTGTGTCTTGTTACGATATGAGAAAGACCATACAATAAAAGATATCGTTCAAATGGTTGCTTGTTTGGTTAATGCAATACTGAACGGATTCATTGCCTTTTAAATTTCCCCCAAAATGCCAAAATTTTTGCGTCGAGCATATTTTGAACCTTGTTCCTTAATGTTCGAATGTACATTTCAGAGTTTTAATGGAATTTTCTTCTCGAGAACAACCCGCTACTCGCGGTTGACGTTAATTTTTAACGTTTTTTCGTCAAAAATTACAATCAAAAAGTTAACGAAAAAAATTTTATTCTCGCTTGAAAAGCGTTAATTATTGACGAAAAAACGTCAATAAAAAGCGTTAATTTTCCACATTAACGATTTCATTATTCACGCGTCAAATTAACGTCAATTATTATGATGTTTCATAATAAAAAATAATTGACGAAAAATTAACGCTCCTTATTTCTCAAATTTCTCTTTCATTCTCGCTCAACCAATCGTTCACTAATTCAATCTCTTCAAACCACTCCAAATCTTCAAATCTTGTATATTTATCCATTTTCCTCACATTCATTCATCCAAATTCTCTAATTTATATCCAACAACAAAGCTAAAGTAGCCAATTTAATGAATATAAATGGTAAATGAAAGATGAATTGGATTGACATTACTTACTTTTGAATAATTTAAGCTATCGGGTTGAAATATCATCTAATTCAATACTTGTATTTCATATCATCTTTTCATTTGTTTATCATGATGTTGGTTTTGCATTCAGTTAAAATATTTTTCAGTTGCGGCATAATAATCATAGTGATCAATAGTTCAATCAAAACACACTTCAAATTCATATAAATGATATATCAATTTGTCATTTGTTTTGATATCTCTATTGCACTGACATTATTATTCACAACAAGTCATATTTTAACATCAATCAAACCAATCCCTATTCATGACAAACAAATGCCTCGATGATCTAAATACACTCCAGGCTTAAAATGTTTAAACATCAAACTCTAAAGCATTGAAAGCTCTGTTAATCAATCCATAATAATTAACAACCTACAAATAATCCTTCATAATACCAAGCAAATTCAGCTTGAAATTCCATAACTCGATAATATAACATCTTTTTCAGTTCTACCATTGACAAATGTTAAGAAAGCGGTTGTTTGGTTATTGTTGCAACTACAATCCTTTAACTCTCAATGCATAGTGGGACAAGAGGGTACGAATAATCAAACAACCAACTGTGGATCAAATATACTTGAAGTCTTATCATCCTATCCTCAATTGATTATCATTAAATTCAATCCCTACCTCAAGATATCCCTTCATTATCTGGATGTTAGAACTTGCTTCAATATCCTCAACCAATCTCTACCAACGCATTCTATGTACAGAGTGTAATGATGGATATTCAAAACAACAACTAATAAAGAAGAAGCAACTAAAACATTTTGAATAAACAAAAATCTGCTCAGCAAATCTAACAACCTACCGATCATGTTACTCTAGAAGGAAATAAATAAACAACGAATAATGTTGTTGATATTAGTACATGGTTGGATATACTTACCGGTTTAACAGGTGAACAAGTTTAATCATCCTCCACAACAATAACAATGGCCGTAAATGAAACGAATTACCTTTTCAAACAGCACGAACAGAATTACTTTCAAATCAAGCACTAACTACAAACCCTATCTGTTTGTTCAACAATATCTTCTCCTATCATCAACATAACATTCATTCGTCTTGCCAAAATGTTTGATGATGCTAAAGGTCCTTTGTAGCATCTATCGTTGATCAGATTCAAGAAATTCACAACAACTTCGTGAAAAAGAAAAGCTTACCGTAGAAAACTTTATCAATAAAAGCCTGCTTTGTCCTTTATAAGAGACAAAAGGCAAATGATAGCAAAGACAGTCCTCCATTTCGAGCAAACATGAAACGTGTCGATATCTTTGGATGATTTGGAGATCATATCTGTATCAATGAAACACGTACACTTACGCAAAGCAAGCTCTAGCAGCATATAAGATGAACAAGCGGCATCTGTTGATGAATGAATGTGATTGTTGAACGTGGAGGCTGCTACAAGCTTTTGAGAATTTTTTTAAAACAAATTTTTTATGTAATTCAAGATTTTACAACGACTGCTTGCTCTTGGTTTTGGATTCATGCTCTTTCTTTGATGCGTTGTGTTTTAAAGTTCGACTTAAATTCATCAATAATATTCGTTCCACTTTCCACTTATCCAATGGCACCTCAGTACATTCTAAAATGCAATCAATTACAATATCTTTCTGATCATCTTTCAAAAGAACATAATCCTTATCAAACAAATAATTGCTAACAATGCCAAGCCGAGCCGTCTTGTTGCTGTTGATAATTCTGGACACCAAATTTGGGGTATTTGTTTCACATTAGCACCATATGTGACAGAAATTGTTTTGCTTGGAAGAATATTCGGGTATTGTAATTGAAGAGCAATTAATGCGTTCAATGGCTTATTCAATTTGATGATTAATTCTTTTAGCTGTTTGTTTTCCAATGATAAGGCCTCGTTTTTCTCTCTGAGGTCTTTGACTTGCTGAAGGAAAAAGATATCACTAGCGAAATTCTTATAATCAGTAGGTTCCGTAGACTTGGGCTCATTTTGCAAAGGAGAATCACTCTCTTCAACATTTGAATTTGAGTTTGTTCTTGAATCCGAAATTTCCGGTGGAGTTATAGAGAGAACTTCATTGTCATCAATTTTGTCATCATCGACTTCAGTATCATAATTCATGGAAAATAAGGAGACTGGAGTACATCCTCGCTGAACCGTAGAAAAAGCATTTTGAATCATAGGAGCATGATTGGTTCGATCTTCAATTAATGAAAGGCATGAAATATCAAAAATCGTCTTCTTTTGATCTTGAACGAAGGATGGAACGTGAAATATAATGTCATTTAAACTGCAATTAGTTGAAGTGAGTGATTGAACTCTTCCTTTACCAATCTTGTAGTAACAATTCTCTCCCTTTTCAATAATTTCAACTAAATCTCCAACTTTGAGATTTGAACTCACAGGTGGGCATGTGGATTCAATTAAACCTTTTTGTTTCAAAAGGCTTACACTGATAGCCTTGACTGCAGCACATATTCGTTCCGAAAAATCTTTGTCCGAGCTATAAGTTTGCAAAATTGACTGTCGCAAGCGTTCTGGATTACCAGCTTGAATACCAACAAAAACCTTTTCTCCTTGTTTGAGAAATTGATTCATCAGAATGTATGTTGCAGAGACAGAGTCTTTGTTTGTAATGTCAATATCCTTGTTGTGAATGTTTTGCAAAAAGTCTAAATATTTCTCAAGTTGAGGAATACTATTACATAAAGCATTTTCAGAGTGTTTCGCAATTAACTTAGCTTGTTTTTCATTTGGCTTTTTGGCCTCGAATAAAATTATTTGCTCTAAATCGGAGGAAGTGTCTTGTGTTGAAAGTGTACTATCGTTTGCTTTGGTTTTCTTTGTTGCATTCTTGCCAGGGTGTGATTTTGTTCTTTTCATTTTTTTGAGTAATGTTGAATCTTGTTTTACAACCGTTAAATGTCCAATTTGCAAGTGGATCGAAAATTTGGGAACGATAGATATTTCTTGACGAATATACGTAATTGGAGACACTTAATGGAATCTATATCGTTAAACAATCAACGTTCTTGTTTTGTGTTGTTGTAAATAATGAAGCAATTTGGTTTGAAGCGCCAAACTGTAGAAGGGTCCAGTTCAATTGTCAATTCAAAATACAATCACGAGCCAAATTATGAGCCTGTAAATAAGTTTCGTAAGACTGTTGCTCATTGCATTGATGATGATTCTTTGTTAGATATTGGTGGAATAGATATAAATTACTCTTCTCAGAACCATACAGTAGAAAATCAACAATGTAATTGTAGTGCAGAGGGTCTGGAAAATCTCTGTTCAGGTTCTCATGATTCATCTCCGACGAATGAAAATAATCCATCCAATGCACAATCAGAACAAGACGACCTGTTACAGTTTTTCAGAGAATATTGGAGTGATGGAGATGATGGCATACTAGATGAAGAAGTTCTCTCTTCCCATTCATTTTCAAGCGTTGTGAATGATAATGTCAATGTAAATGTTGATACGTTGATGAAAAAAATTCTCAAGTTTGCAGTAACAAGTTCTCTCTCTGAAAATTGTCTCAAAATGGTTTTAAATCTAATTCGAGAAGCCATTCAACTCATTCATGAGAGTGATAAACAAGAACTTTCAGATAAGCTGACATTAACAGGGTTCTATAAGTATTTCCTTTTGTCTTCAAAGACAAAGAAAATTCCAATGTGCACTCATTGTCAGACGTATCAAAAAAATCCAGACCAAAAATCCTGTCCTAAATGTGGGAAATTATGGAAAGATATCAAAACTCATTGCTTTTTACGCCCATTAAAATTCCAATTCGAGGAAAGGATATTCAGAGAGCCACAATTTTTGGATCAATTTAAACTTGATAATCGTGATCCCCAACTTATCCAAGATCGTTGTGACGGAGACATCTACAAAAACATTCACAAAAAATTCGTAGATGAAGGAGGAAAAACTATGACGTTATTTGGTGACGGTGTTGCTCCGTTTAAATCTAGTCAGCAAAGCTTTTACGAATTCTCTGTCACATTCAATGAGATGAAACCAAATGTAAGAAAGAAGCGCAAGAATAACTTTTTGTGGCTACTATTTCCTAACAAACCATCTCAAGAAGAAATCAATTTGTGTTTGAAAATCATGATGGATGATTTGAATGTGTTCAATGATCAATTTAAACAAATATCATTGAGATTAGAAAGAGTAATTGCTGACTTACCTGCAAGGTCTGAAATTCTCTTATTTCAAAAATCAGGGTATTATTTTTGCCATTTATGCGAGATTCGAGGGGAACCTGTTCAGTTACCAGGAGGAACTACTCAAGTTAGATATCCACTTAGGAGAGACATTTCTAGTAATCAACGAATTGTTTTTGGTTTGAGAGATCGACATTTTTGGAATAATATTTCGGGAAAAGAGTTGTCATGGGGTGTTCGTGGATATTCTCCAATATTAGACCAGAGTTGGAAACCAACTCCCACTACAATATGCTCCTATGATTCAATGCATAACTTGTATGAAGGAATTATGCGTGACATGATGGAGATGATTCCACTTCAATATTGGGACGAGTTCGACAAGGAATATCTCAAGCAAAAATTTCCTTCGTTCTTACATAGACACCCGAGATCAGTTTCCAAAAATTTAGTACACCTTAAGGCAATGGAGATATATATGATTATTCACTATTATCTAGATCTACTTCAGGATGTTAAGAATTTCAGTATGATTGAGTTGAAGTATAAAATTATTAAGAGAATGGTTGTTGTAATTGACAAGTTAACAGATGCCATTAATATAGCTGATTTGAATTCAATTAATGAGGAACTAAGAGGTATTTTGGAGGATTATCAAGAGATGGTAGGTATTGCAAAGGCTACAATGAACTTCCATGTAGCTAGTGATATGGTGCGAAATGCAGGCCTATATGGTCCATTGGCACATAATACAGCCTTTGTTGGGGAAAATCTAAACTTCACATTGACCAAGCCGTTCATTTCATCAAATTCTGCAAGGTATTCTATTATGTTTTTTGATATGGCGCAGTTATGCGATATATTTGGTTTAAGTGAACTCAAACCTTCGGAATGTGTGTGTGGTCATTTCGTGTTGAAGAAAGAGAGAGATGTTGTGGCTGATACTTCTTGTACTCCTGCAAAATACTTCAAAATCAAATCATTCACAGATTCCACAGTGACTTTGCAGAATTTGTCAGACAGGTCTGTGATTGAAGTGTCCAACAAAGAGCCTCTGGTTCCTTGTGTTACTGTTACTAGAAAGGGGAAGAGTTATTTCATTCCGATGCACAAGAACGTAAATCAATATATTTAATGAAGCCGTGATGAAAAATAAACCTTGCTTTGCGCAATTTTTGCGTTGTTTTTTTAACGCAAAAGCGTCAACTTTGCGAAGAGGGTTGCGGGTCCATGAGAAGCGGGAACAACCGCTCTGAAAAAAATTTAAAAACCCTCAATTCTCCAAATTTTGCAAATTATCGAATTTCTCAACAATAGGCTCTGAGACATCATTTGGCATCATGAGAAAAATCAGTGATCCTCCGTTTCTCAAGCAAGGACAAGTGGGTGGTTTGAAAAGTGGCCATCAGTCCATGATTGTGAGAATGGTGAGTCCCACCGGATCCATCTCAACCATTTCGTTACGGGAAAAACGTTGCTTTATACGATACATTAATGCCATCATGGAGAGAGTAAGCCTTAATGATCCTCACGAATGGAAAATGATCGGATTGGAGAATATTGAGAGTGATGAAATGTATGATCGGTTGAAAGATGGACTCGTATTCTTGTAAGTTGATTTTGAGTTTTCATCATCATGACCAATGACTCCGCGTGTATAATTATATTCCTCCTTTCACTCCACCCTCTACACCCGAGAATAGACACCTTATTGATCAGATATTACCCAATCTTGTGGAATGGAAAATAGTCTACAAGTCCAAAAGCGGAGAAGAATTGAACAAGATTAAACGCGTACAAAATCATCATCATGCATTACAGTGTTGCAAAGGATTAGGTATTGTCATTGTAAATATTTCAGCGGATGATTGTGCCGAGGGCAAACCAATGGCGCTTCATTCCATTCTCTCCATATTGATACGAGAGGAATTGTCCAAATCTCTGAATATTCTCTTCAACTTTCATGTGCTTGCGTTGAAAAAGCATGAGGAGGAGAGCATGAGTGAGTTTATGAGTCAGTCCGATCAAACCTTATTGCTGCGATGGATCAATACGCACCACCTGGAAACCAAGTTCAACACACGAGTCAGTGGATTGGGTGAGGAATGGAAGGATGGTAAAATGTTTGAAATGTTGCTGCAAAGTGTTTTGGGAAAACGGTACTGTAATGAGGACACAACACATCAGAGCGGTGAGGACAGAATTGCACATGTCCTGCAATGCATTGAAGAAAATGGTTTGAACAAGAAACGAATACTTCTCGAGGTGGAAGACATTAAGTGTGGAGAAAAATCTTTGATTTCTGCCTTATTAATGTCCGTATTTTCGAGTTGTGAAGAGTCTGCCAAGTCAATTCTCATACCGCACACGAGAGAGGAGCTTGAGAGGCTTGCTGCAGAAGCTACGGATATTTCATTGTCCACATTAGTGTCCGTGTTGCCATCCTCCTTCTTTAGTAGCTCCAACAATCGAGATGCAGGGTGGGATTGGAATAACGGAAGTGTGTCAGGAGACATGTTAACCATGGGCCAATCCTTTCTGACATTTCTCAAACACATTTCGCTCACCATGCAGAGTGGTATTAATGACATTATCAAACAGCGAGAGAGGAATGCTGAGAGAGAGAAACCAATGACCACCAGGTCCACAGTTGAAATGGTGAATACCAATCATGAGACGAACAAGAAATCTGTGAATGGAAATAATGATCGAGTAAATCCAGAGAGTCTCCAATCACAGGCAGTGGTTACCCATGTCACGTCCAAAAATGCTGAAATTGAATCGAACCAGCCATCCATAAAGGTTGAAAATGATCAAGTCCATACAGATCGCCACCAACTTGAACCAACCAACGGCGATGAAACAGAATATGAAAGAAAAGACCTGCATGCTGTGAAAGAGGAAAACAAAGTTCTCTTAAACAAGTTGCACTCCTTGACAAGTTGTGTTCAGACTGCAAGCCAAGATATTACCTACTTACTTTCCACAAAAAAAGACGTTCTCAACACATTTGCAGAGTACAAGTTGGGAGGTAATTTGGCTGTAGATAAGGTACTTTCAAATAAGGGCGTTATTCGCAGTGCATTCTGTGAGGTAAGTATTTTCGTGACCAATCAATTGATAATTTGAAATTATTCTCTAAATTTCAAAACAACTTCATGTTGTTCTCTAAACACATTCTTCAAACCAAAAGAAACGAGGCACTTCGAGGAAAAGTTGGAAAAAGCGCTATTTCATTCTCTTCAAGGACTTCCTCTTGTACTACAAGTCGAAGGATGGTTCAGAAAAACCAAAAGGCATTCAATATTTGGATGTTTCCACAACAGCTGAACTCATAGATTCAGAGGAAAGGAAGGGAAAGTTATTTGTCATCAAGTCTGCCAATCGAGCTCTGTATTGTTGTGCCGAAAGTGACGAGGAGCGATTCGCATGGATTCAAAGTATAAATAATTTGTTGAGGCATGACCTTTGAATTTTAAAACACTTGAAAAAACTTAAAGCCCTTGTCGATGAGCAGTTTTGAGCTGTTGTCGGTATGTAGTTGTTTCTAAAATAGTCCAATAAACAGAATCATGTTCTTGAATAGTTCAACCATGCACAATACCATAATAACATTAGATAACACGGAAATTGTAATGTTTTAGAAAATTATTGACCATTTCATCAAAATCATCGTTTAATAAATTTCTAAAATCATTCTAGAATTATTGAATAACTGTAGTAATAGTAGTAGCAGTAGAATACATTGTAAAAGCACAATTATTTACGAGATTTGTAAATTTTTGGTTTGCCAGAAAATGCAGGAACACTTGGAAGATCATCCACTCTAAATTGAAATCGTCCCTCAGTTTGAATACCTCCAGAGCTGTCCAAAGTGGGTGACTCCACAGGTGGAGGAGTTGAAACTGGTTGCTTTGGTGGTGGAGGAGGTCTCTTCTCTATTCCAGCATTTGATGTTCTCGGAGGAGGTGTGACTGTTGCAGTTGTTGGTGATGTTGTAGTGTTGTTGTTGGCATTCACTCCTATCGAGGATGATTTTGGTGGCAACGAAGGAGGTGATGTTCCTTTTGATGGGAGAGGAGGAGGATTTCTTCGCCCACCTTGTGGCACAGGAGGAGGTGCTCTTCTTCCGGTTCCATTTGCGTCTGTGGCTGATGTTGTTGAGTTCGTGTTCACAGTAGGTGGTGGCTGTGTAGCTGTTGAGCTGGGTCTAACAGGTGGCGGAGAGCTTCTCACAGGTGGTTGCTGAGATGTTGCCGTAGCTGTTGATGTGGTAACACCTCCCGAATTTGTTCTACTCATTGGTGGTGGTGGAGTGGACCTTACAGGAGGCTGTGTAGATGCTGTTGAATTGAATGATGATGTAGTGGTCGTTGTTGAGCCCATGCCTCCCTTTGAAGTTGGCACCGATGGAGGAAAGCCACCTGATCTTGATGGAGGAACGGATGGAGGTTGTGAAGAGGGTTCTCTGGGTGGAGGGTTACGTTGTGGTAAACTTGGACGTGTGGGTGGCTGTACACTATTGCTGCTGCTGTTAATACTACTTGTGGTTGCTGTTGTTGATGGTGTGGTTCGGGTGGGTGGAACTGTTGGAGGTGTTCTCTTGGGTGGCGACGACATATTTGAAGAGCTCGTATTGGCACTAGTTGCTGAAGCATTACTGCTTGTATTGGCCGATGATCCAAGACCTTGTCTCTTCTTGAGAATTTCATCCATCATGGGATTTCCAGTTGGAACACTGTTGTGATATTGTCAGAAAAGAAGGATCAATGACCATGTTGAGTAACAAATTCATGTCGTGTTTCCACGGAAGTGTATCGTCATGGTGTTAATACCATCGTTTGCATCATACGCCAGTGTAATGTCGTCATGATAACAACATTGACGAGTGGAATTGATAATTATCAAAATGGAAGTTAAAAATCATCGTTGTCCAAATCAATCATCGGTGATTCAATCATCATCACCATGACGAGTGGAATGTATTAATTCACATCATGTTTGTTTCATGATGATTGTTGTTGATGATTCAATATAGGTTGACGTAGGTACGATTATTATTATCATAACCAGGGAGAGTCATGTGATTAGGGTAAATAAAAGGATTAATGATGATGATGTATCAACAAAAACTCGTTTCAATGAAACACAACAAACCGTAAACATACAAGCTTGGTTTTGGTTGGGCATTGGCAGTACTCGATGCCGAGGATGTGGAAGGCTTCTTTGGAGCATTAGGATCAACCACTTTTCCAACAACATCTCCAGTCTTTTCCTTCTTCTCACTTTCTGGTACCTTCTTCAACTTTTGTCCTTTACGGATCGAGGATAATAAATCACCTCTTCCTGCAGTATCCACGTTTGGAGGTGGAGTATTGGAAACAGTTACTTTAGGAGGGGGAACGTTAACTGGTGGAGGTGGTGGAGGAGGCATTGGATTATTGTTGATTGAAATATTGGGTGTAGTTTAATGGATGAATGAATAATTCTAATCCACAACAAAATCTGTGATGATGGTGATGAACGGAAAAACGAGAAACTCTCTACTACTGTAAAAACGTAGTGGTGTGGTGGTAGTGATGATGGAACAATGAAGGAAATAAAAATCTGAATTGCAAAAAACTCTTCAAAAAACGAATGGGAAGAAGAGCTGTTCTGTTGATATTTTTTTTGCTTGTGCTCCTTTCCTTTGTTTATAATTCCAAGTGGTGTGCAATTTATGTGTGATGTTACTTTCTAATCATTTCACCAGAGTCTGTAGCATCATAATCTTCATTAAAAGTGGCATTGCTCTCAGAGGTAGAGTTGAGACGAGTGCCCCTTAGTGAACGTTGTTGCTCTGTCGTTTCATAATACTTGATGGCTCTCTTTGAATCGACATAGTTCATAACTCGTTGCATAATTTCTGAATCTCTCCATCGTTCTGGTAGCTTTTCTTTCCATTCTGCACTCTTCTTGTCTTGCTCAGTAGCAATCAACCAATTATAGAGGTCACTGTCATGCTCACACAATAAATCATAAAATTCTTCCAATTCCTTCCAATCATTCATGCTTGGAATGTGTTCTCTGGCAAATCCTCCAAGAAAGAGCTCAGTTTCTACTCGACCTCTATTTCTGCAATACATTAAAATACGACGTTTGATATTATTCATAAAGTTTTCTTGTTCTTGTTTGGTCATTTCATTGAGTGCTTTTCCATCCTTGTTTGCCTTTGCTAAAATTTCATGAAAATAGGGTGGACGAAAATCAGGAATGGATTTAATAATTTCTTCGTCTGTGAGATGAGATTCGGCAGTCTCAGAGACAGCTTCGGAAGCTTCATCATCCTCTTGTTGATTCTTTAAATCCGAAAAACGAGAAGGAGAGGTAGAAAAATATCTTGTTGATTGCACTTGATGATGGAATGGATGATGATGACCGTTAATCATTACAATTAAAGAGGATGATGATCCGTTCCGAGCAGGTAATATTTGAAGGCCTTGTCGGATGCAAGAAACACGTTTGAAAAGGGTTAAGCCAAATTTGTTCATTTTTTAATTGTTTAAAGAGCCTTCAATCAATACTGGGAAAATGAACAGGAATTATTATTTAATGAAGTATGGAAGAAGGATTGTTTGGAGTTTTAGGTAGTGGTCTTGGAGCTCGACTGTATGTTCTTTGTGGTTTCAAATATTCGTCACCACTGCTTGATCTAGTTTGTGCTGCGTCCTCAACGTGTTGCTTCCTCTCCAAGTTTCGACTTGAATGAGTGCTTGAAACATCATCGAGAATGACACACGAGCTCTCAGTAAGGACAGGCTCTCCTATGATGGTCATTGGTGGTCTTTCTAATAAAGTTATTAAATGGGTCATGCTGCTATTCAGCTCATTCATTGTAGGATTGGATTGATCATGCATGTCATGACGGTCCATTGTGTGTGGTTGAATAGGTGATGGTAAATCCTTTTCTTGTGGTTCCTCAGTGATAGTAGTTATGTTGGATGAAGGTCTCACCTCTCCTGAAGTTTGATTCATGGTAGGGCGATCAAACGACGAAGAATTTGTTGTGGAATCCCTTGACGAATGTGAAGGTGAAAATTTGTCAAACAATACTTGAAAACCTTCTCCAACTTTTTTCCCAATAATGCTCAATCGTTTTCTGGCTCTCGATGGTGACGATGTTGATATGGTGGCTGCATGTCGAGAAATGACTGGAGTTGATACAGATGCTGCATATGGAGAAGCTGAGAAGTGTTCATGATGATCGTGATGTGAATTGATAAACGAGACTGATCTTCTCTTAGGTGAAGTAATTTGCTCCTCAATTCCTGAAAATCGTTTCATCATAATTTGTCCATACATGAGTGAGACTCCAATATCAAAAAGGTGAAGCGTATTAAACATATTTTTCATGTCACAACATCCTAGAAATGCTTTAAAGCATTGTAATTGTTGTGCAGTTTCTGTTGCTTGTATGTAAGAAACAGGTTTAGGTGGAAGAGTTGGATTTTTCTTCTTCTTCTTTTTCAATGACAATGCTGTAAGGTGTTTTAAATTCCGTTCTGCAATGTCACGTTTCAGTCCAATGAGTGCCAATGTGGATTTTGGAAAATGTGCATCTCTTACTTTGCGTAATTCCTTGAAATATTCATTCGTTTCACTGGGTAGAGTATTGGGATTGGACATGTCAAAACAATATAAAAACAAGTCTACTTTCTTTTTGGATTGTCTCAAAATTTTTGCATTATCCGAATACTTTTCATTGATGGATTGAAATTTTTGAGGAGTTTTGTATTGCGTTGGAATGATTTGAGGAGTGTCATGAATAATGAGTTCAATTCGCTCACCTGTGAGTAAATAATATGGATGACAATACGTGCTCACTTTTTCAGTGGGTGAATATTCTGTATGTTGTACCGGCATGGTATGGCCAAAGATGGAATCTATAAAGGTTGATTTTCCAACCCCCACTTCACCAACCACTGCAATTCTGAATATTTTCCTGCGAGTTTTTCTCTTGACGCTTGTCACAAGCTTTGTAAAGGAGCCAACATTTGGATCGTACTCAGATGGAAGAGGTTGAATAACCATGGATGAAACGTCATTGTGTGGTTGTTGTTGATGAATGTGACCAAGGAATGTGTGTGCAGAATATTCTGAAATGGTATGACGTGTTGAGGTATGAGACGCCGCATCTGTCATACTCATGCGATGCTGTGTAGGAGTTGTTGTCGTCTGAAAGCTATTTGCATTTCGTGCAGGTGAATTCATTGAGTCATGATTCGTTGTTGACTGAGAAGAATTTAATTCTGCTGTCGTGTTAGAGGGTTCATGATGTGTTGCTGATGAAAGGATCGAGTTAGAAGAAGAATGATTCTGTTGTTGTTGCTGTTGTTGTGACTCAGAGTTCATATTATCATGTTGATAGGAACAAGCATGATGATGATGTGACATCATGTTAGGATCCACTAATCCTGAATAAACCTCCACAATACTTCTTCTGGCCAACGTTGCTGAAGTCAATGGAGCAGAATCATTCAATCGCCAACTTCTTCTCTCAAACATTCGACCCGAATTGGATGAGAATGATCCTCTCGTATCACTAAGGGTTGTGCTTAATCGAGAAGAAGTTGTTGTGGTGTAACTGGTCGTTGTGGACCTTCTCTCTCCGTTCATGGACGATGAAGAAGAATCCGATGTTCTATTCGCCGATGCCACACTCGAAACACTTGTTCTTTCATTCTGCTGCTGCTGTTGTTGTTGATGTTGTGAGGACGAGAATTTCATCATCAATATGGCCATCACTCGATCCATTTGATCCTCAATCATGGCATTGGACAACAAGTGAGGAAATCTCTTCAAATGTATCTCGTTAATGATCCTCAAACAGGTCCATGAAATGGTTAACTGATTTTTCGAGGTGAGCCCGAGTGAGAGTAAATCCCGAACCGAGAGAAAGGGTAAAATACACTTCTCGACAATTTCCGGATCCATATTCTTCAATAATTCAACCGCTTGCTTATCCATGAATGTTTCTTGAATGTTTTGTGGTTTCTCCAAAGTGGGCATGAAATGTTTCATCAATTCTGTAGAGAGTCTCCGATTGAGAGCCTTCTTGTTCTTCTTTTTCATTTTCGGATCATGAGGTTGTTCCGTATCAGTGGCCCACTCTACATGAACCACCTCCTCATTGTTGTCATAGACATTTTTACGTGGATCAAAAACCTCTTCATGAATAGTACTATTCGTTTTTTTTCCAATTTCGGAAATTTCTTTGTGGTGATGAACGGAATGTTCATTGTCTTCATCTTGGTCCTCTTCGTCCTCATCATCCTCATCGTCATGATGATTATTCCATTCAGGATTTGTAGTTGCTGAACTCATGGATGAATCCGAGCGATGAATGGTTGGAATGATCAATCGATCTTCTCTTCGTTTTCGCATGAGAGCAATTTGTCGTTGTTGGGAGACGGTGAGTTCATCTTCATCCAATGAGCCATGAACGGAATCGAAAATGCGAAGTGTTGCAGGCATTGATGTGGAGAGACAAGTCTCTGTGTTTTTAACGGATGTACAATTTGTGAATGATGTTCGCGAACTAAATGTTTGAAAAGAGACACAATGGATGCGAGTGATGAAACGTTGTTTGGTGTTCGTGATGTTTTTTGTTAACTTGTGACTTTTGTGTGTAGCGAACTGTCAATTGTCATTTTCTATTAGGTTCGATATTTGGCAAGAGGAACGAAATGGAATGAGAAATCTTTCGATCCAACTGAAACGTCCATAAATGCACATGGTGATGATAAGATACAACAGCACATTAATGATACCTGGAAGTTGTAGAACCAACTACAACTGTAATGTTTGTTAATAAATGGTACTTGGATTGATGTAGTTTTGGTTTTCAAAAAAACTGATGCAGGAGTATTTCTGTAATTTACTGATCTGTGTTGTTTTGAAATAAGGTTATATATAACATTTACATGTAAGCTTCCATACAAGCAGAAACAAATTGTTCCCAAGTAAACGTGCCTGTCCACAGAAATGAGTATCCTTTGGAATGAATTGATTTCGAATAATACCCAAGAAGGCACACAATTCAATATAACCATCAAAATTGATACTTCCCTTATTCTGAAAATCAAACAATGAAACATCTTGTCCAACAACTGAGACGAGAAATTAAATCCCACTCGTGACAATGTGTAGCCACTTCAGATTTTTCTAATTTTCCTGACTTGTTCAAATCCACACTTTCAAATCCTTGTTTCATTTGTATCAAATATTGATGCAAGGCAGAATATTCATCAAAATCAATCGATCCATTTCCGTTCCGATCAAACATTTTAATCAATCGCTTGGCACATCTCTCATTAAACGCAGCATAAATATCACTTCCAGGCATGGTCAACACTCGTTGCAATTCAAGAAATGAAATCTTTCCACTCTTATCCAAATCTACGGCATCAAACAGTGGCCGCAAGGATTCATTCGGAGTAAAATTTGGAGTTTGATTCATCATGTTCTTTCAATTAAAGATATTCTGGTAGAGCTCTGGTGGTTGATTTTTTTTTTGGAGTTCATAAAAACTGTAAATTTTGGTTGCCAAAAGTTCGTCGATCTTGAAAAATGAACTCGGAACTGTAACAAAGATCCCAAACGAGTTGTTGAAAAACAAATTTGCGTGCCAACAAGCTGGAAAGAAGAAATGGCTGTTGAATCGGGAATTGAAATATAATAATGGATTCTTTCCAGTGGAGTTTATGAACGATAAGGAATTTATTTTGAATCATCATCATCATGGATTATAAATACATCATCCGAATTACAACAAGATCGAGAGTTTGTATTGAAAATGGTTCAGCGTCATGGCTTGGACTTGCTCTTCGTTTCAGAAGAGTTATTAAAGGACAAACCATTGGTTCTGGAAGCGATAAAACAAGACAGTACGGCATTTGAATACGTGCCTCAAGAATTTCAAGATAACATGGAATTTATTTTGGATGCAGTGAAACACAATGTGGAGGTCATTACGCATGTGGAAAAAAAGTTTTGTTCTGATCGACAGTTTTGGTTAGAGGCTGTGAAACGAAATGGTCTCGCACTCAAGTGGGCACCTTTGACGTTTAAAATAGACAAGGAAATTGTGATGGAAGCCATTAGGCAAAATAAGGATGCATTGCGATGGATACCAGATGAATTGACAAAACTCCAAGATTTTGTTCTAGATTTGTTCAAAACAATACAACCAGAATTAGAGTCCTTGGAAACCTCGCTCATACTCTGTGCTGTTCAAGAAAGTATTTACTTTCTAAAAGTTGCACCGAAAGAATTCCAAAACAATAGAGAAATAATTTTACAAGCAGTTCAAAAAGATGGTCGTGCACTTAAATTTACTTCTGACGAGTTGAAGGATGACAAGGACATTGCTCTTCTCGCCCTTCAAAAACATGCTAAAAGTATCAAGTACTTATCCCGAAGACTCCAAAGTGATAAGAAATTGCTTTACTTGCAGTGAAGAAGTGTGGAAAATTATTGCGCCATGTCAGCGATGATTTGAAACGTGACAAACAAGTTGTGTTGACAGCTGTTGCACAATGTGGTTTAGCTTTTCAATATGCATCCATAGAGATGAAAAACGACAGACAAGTAGTATTAACAGCAGTACGACAAAATGGACTCGTCTAAAACTGGGAAGTAATGAAATGAGAAGCGATGCAGAAATAGTACTTGAAGCAATCAAAGAACGTGGAAATTGTCTTCATTTTGCAACAGATGAACTAAAACGCAACAAAGACTTTCTATTGCAAGCTTGTAAACTAGGATGTGGGTTTGTGTTAAAAGCAGCGTCCTATGAATTGAAAACGGACATGAACTTTGTAATGCAAGTCGTCCAACTAAATGGCTTGTCGTTGCAATGTGCGTATGGTGAATTTCGTTCCGACAAACAAGTGGCATTGGAGGCTGTGAAAAGTAATGGATCAGCTCTTCATTATGTCGACGGTGGGTTGAAACATGATCCAGAGCTAATCATGGAGGCCTTGAAATGTAACGGATTTGTTCGTTCGTACACAGATGAATTGTTTCGGATTCGAATGGAATTTGCTTACTTTGGAGCATATTTAGGGACCAGTCTGAAATGAAATTTGGTGTTAGATCTTGTTTTTCCAAAGTCGACTGAAAAAAGCTCTACTTTCATAGATCCATTGATTTTTTCATTGTTGTTAATTTGCATTTCTGCTAGATAACAACCATGACTGTGTCGTGTAAGCCAACTTTGCGTCAGCTAAATGAAAGCAAGAGTTTTACATGTAATAAAAATCTGTTGTTCACCAAAATGAAAACGTCGTCGAAAATAGTTCCTGTCCTAGAATGGTATTGTGGAGATTGTTGAATGTGACACACATAATTTTTGGAAAGCTCGAGAGAAAAAGTCTCGTTTCGAATTTCTCTCCAATATTTAGATATTTATCAATCGCATTACCACTTTTTCAGGCCTGGCTATTTTCACACCTTATATACAAAAAAATTCCTAATTCAACTCATTTAACTCTCTCTTCTTTGGTGATGAATTATTTCATTTGCTTGTTCATGGTGCTTGTCATGATGCTCATTTCTCTTTCATGGAGAGATGGTACGTTGGTACATACTGCTCCAATTACTATAGCATTTCCAAATTTCAAAGTGAACTCACATTGACAGATTCCAATCAATGCATTGTGGAGGTCAATGAGCGGTCTTCACTTCTTCCACAAGGAAAATTCTTAGAACTATTCCCACGGATTTACCTTATGGTTATGCAAGAATGATTGAAGAAATTCAAGTCACTCCCATGTCAGCCGATGATCCGTCCATCCAAGTATCAGATGTTTCTTACTTGCCATCAGGAGATGGTATGAAACAAATACATGTTTCTTTAGAACATTCCACTTCAAATAATGAGACAGTGACCTTGCAATACAAGTACAAGATGAATGGACCTCTTTTTGTTTCACAAAGAGTCAAAGTCTCATGGTCAATTGGATACGACGAGGAGGCACAATCTATTAACAATATTGAAATTTCTGTGAAATTCCCAGCGAACATGTTCTCAAAGATCGCTTCCTCTTTGAACAATTTCAACGTGAGTCAACAAGGTGAAACAATGATTGTGACATTTCCAACAAGTCGTGTTGCTGTATCGTCTTATCGACCCATGTTCAGTGCTAATAACTTGGTATTTGACAGTTGTCAAACTTATTGGTATACGCGTGGTCCACTATTCACAATTTTTGGATTTGTTGGCACAATCATGGCAATTATGATGTTTTGCTTGGGTGTGAAATTTGTTCGTCACAACATGAAAAAAAAGCACAAGGAACCAGAACATGTTTAGGGAGGAGCAATATCTGTTAGAAATTTCATGAAGAGTTGGACCATTCCAATTCAGTTTCAATGATAATTTCATCATTTCTAAATGATAAAAATCTTCTGTTTCATGAATTTTACATGTTGGTGTCGTAGACATCATCTTGTTACAATGCAATAACCAAGGCTGTATTACTTCTTCTTGAGGAGAATAGGGAATGATTTTCAAAGCAAATATACTCTCAAAAATCATATCTTGAAGTTCGTTTAAACACTCCCTTACTTGAAATTTTCTCAATGTTCACTGGTTGCGATTTTGGATCGAATGGAGTATGATCGTTGAAGCAATGTGGTAACACAGTCTTTGTTGAATGTTCAGCTTGAATAGGGCCACACATAGGAGCTGTGCTCAAAAGAGCATGAATACGAGCACATTCTTCTCGAGAATAATTGTATTGAGATTGTTTGTGAGCATTGTCACATGTTCCTGTTAAATTATAGGCTCTAATTTCTGATTAAGGATGTGAATACACGTTCATTGAAACATGACAACATTCATATTATACATTTTGAATGAAGATGTCATGAATAATAAACTTACCAGCACAAGCTCTCAAATTGCAATCACTCAAGTCTCCAAATCGAGCCATGTCATACACATGAAGCATTTCATGACTCATTGTTTCTGTTGTATTATTTTCACGAAATATTTTCAATATCACAAAAAAATTACATTCATACTCACCTTTTAGTGCTCCTGGATTTGCCATTCGATCACAACAAATAGTGATATTTTCTTGGATTGGATTAAAATATCCACCAATTGGGATTTCACGCAATGCTGATGGATGCTCTGGATCTGTAGTGCAAAACCTAAAATCGAGGCCTTTTCGAATGTGTACTCGTCTATTTGTGTTTGTAATTTCTTTGAGCAGGAAATTGACTTTGCTCTGTGTCATTATATTTTTCAAATAATCATTTTTCAAAAAAAGAAAATATAATTAAATTTAAAGATATGGAAATCAAATAAACGAATCCATATAAACCCACCTCCGTCAAAATTTCAATGGCATCTCTCCGACATTTTTCAATGCTCCTGTAATAGTTAAACACATTAGAAGGAGCAGCACTCATCAAAGGTAATTGTTCTAATGGTTCGTGTTGTTGATTGGATGATCCAGTTACTTCATTATGTTGTTCCGATTCCGATGATGTGTTTAGGCTTGATGATGAAAAACCTTCCGAAGGTGATTGTTCTCGATTCATTTTTTTAAATTTTATTTTTCCTTTTTCGTTTTTTTCAAATCTGAACAAGAGCAACTCATTGGCGACCATGGAGATCCTTTGGAAACATGTCAAGAGGAGGTGTTTTGTTAGAGAATAAACCCAACTCGTCATAACTCTTTGCCAATTCAATCAATGGTTTGCTGTATGGAGATTCTTCAATTCGTCGTCGGAAACTATTCATGACATTGAACAAGGCATTTCTTTGATTCGTATTGCAGTGTTTGATCAGTTCAATGACTACACTGACACCATGTTTGTTTTGAAGTAATTGGAAAAAAGATCGACTATTGAATTCCTTAATATTGCCTTCTGTTTCTAAAAATTTTCTCATGATGGGCATTCTTGTTTCTGAATTTCGTACGAGATATTGAATGACGTGACAACCAAATGGATCCAGAGCTAGATTCATACTATGAGCCCAAATATCTTTCATGAGTTGTGTTTTTGTTTCTTTGGTCACAAGATGTGCTGTTGCTGTGTGAAAGGCAATTTGCAACACTAATTGAACGGTATAAGCTGCATATCGATCTTTGGCCATTTGAAGCATGTGTTCTGAAAACTCTTCCATTACAAAATCATTCACTGAAAAATTCACTTGTACTTTCTGCTTTGAATAATACACAATAAGGTTGAGGACATATTCCACGACGCGTGAACTGTATCGTTGATAACTCAGAAGAGCAAAATTATTCCTCATTTCTTGTACGGCCATATTCAAATATTGAACGTTATTCGTCAAACATAATATTTGTTTCATGAGAAAGTTGGCATATCGATCTTGTGAAAGGACAAGAAAATGTCCTTGCAGCTCATTCACAATATTGGAAACTTCAGATGTAGTTGCTGCTCTAAAAGCATGATTCAACACAAACGAGGAAGATGCATTGAGAGCCATCAAGAAAATATTTCCCGTAAAAGAAGAGATCAGGGAACGACGTTGCGTAACTGACCCAAATTTCATGCAGCCCACAATGAAAAAGGCACCATAAACATTGCATGCCAATTCCACATAGTCCTTCTTCGATAGTCTTCCAATAAGAATTCTTCGTGTCTCTGGAAATCTCGTTAATATTTCCATAATCTTACTAGGTTGATGAGTTTTTAAAATTTCCATTAAAGATTGATCTTTGAGCTTTTTAAGAATGGTTAATTTTTGTGATATGGTACCAAATTCAGCGATGGCTCGTATAAAGTATTGTGCAATAGGATCCCAAATGAGAGCAGAAATTCTATTCTCAATTTCAGATAGCATTTTCTGTGTCAAATCAACCTCTCCATCCACAGAAAGCAATTCAAATAGTCGTTCACATATCATGGAGCCACCTTTTGTGGATAATAACTGATCCACATGTCCCAAAATGAAATTTTGGGCAAAATAGAGTCGTTGCTGAGGTGTGCACACTTTCAAAAAGTGATACACGATAAATTTTCCGAATACATGAATAAGCAAACTGTCAAAATGTGGTTTCAATTCCTCAAACAATAGATCGAGTTCAGCATCTGTGTAACCTTGAACCACTCGTCGGGGTTGTGTATCTCGCTCCGTAATCCAAAAACCCTCTTCTCCTCTCTGAATGACATCTGTGGCAACGTTTGAACCTTGTAGTTGTTTCAATAGATCATTAAATTGTTCGGAATCCTTGGAGATCCAAGTTTTCCTAACTTGTAAACAATTGGATATGAAGGCAGATCCATATTTATCAATAGCAAAGGCATGAAGATGTCCTTTCAAATCTGAAATACATAATCTCGCTCGTGTAGCTCGATCCATGCCCATATAGAAATATTTCAATAATTCATCTTGTGCTTGTTGTGCATATTGCATGAATTCTTCTTTCAGATATAAACTTTGTTCATGTTGTTCTGAAAGAAGTTCTGGTTGTGGTGCTGACCATATCGATGCATTCAAATGTAGAGATGTCAAAATATTATCCCAATCGTTTTTGTCATGATCTTTGTTTGAGGTTTGAGGAGAGGTTTTCGTTCGACCATGACTTGTAAAGGATTTTTGAGAGGGCGTTTTAGAGTCTTTGGATGATCGTTGTTGATTTTTACTGTGAGGATGACGAGAGGAATGACTAGAAAATTTAAACATTTCTTCATATTCTCGATCCAGTTCATGAGAGAATCCAGTCGTTGTTGTTGAATTTGTATGATCAAAATACAAATGTGGAGGTAAATCTTGCAGTAAATCATTGTAATAGGCTTCACCATGTTCATCATGTTGAATATATTCATCCACTAAATCCGTTGGAGGTTGGAATTTCTCTTCGGAATGAATGATTTTGGATAATTCTGGTGGTAAATCTATAGATGATGGTGTTTTGTAATTGGAGAAATTTCTTTCATTCATTCCGATGTTGCTATTGTCAGAATGATTGGACTCCGAGAATAGTGATGAGGAAAACGGCCTATGTATGTGAGTTATTAAATGATGACATTTGTTGGTAGATATCCGAAACAGTACAAAACCTTTGGCATGTTTTTGGAAATAACTCAATGTTGAGCAAGACGACGGTGATGATGAAAATCGTTCCGAAATTAATTTGAACATTTTTTTTAAAATTGAAAAAAAATTCAACAAAACATTGAGAACCCGGATCTCTATTCTTGTCAAGAACATTTTGATTGAGCATTTCTCGAAAAGTGCAATACCTACAGTAGGCTGACTATCGATTCATTCGCTCAATAATTTACCTTATTATTATTACACAATGTCACATAGACACAGTTTCATATTGAAATGAAACTATTTTACACAAATTGGAAATTAGGACTCTTCAATCCCCATATCAATGGAATAAACACACTCGACAAGATGAAAAACAAAACATTCAATGGGAATCCAACTTTGACATAGTCCATAAATGAGTAACCACCTGGTCCTTGTACCAATAAATTGCATTGATATCCAATTGGAGTGGCAAATTCAGCACTCGATGCAATTGCTACAATCATACCAAACATTTGTGGATTCAATGAACGAGATTGAGCAATGGCAAGGGCGAGTGGTAAATTGAGAGAAGCTGCTGCATTGTTGGTGATGACTTGTGTCGTGGTTTGGGTCATGAGAAAGACCACTGCTGGAAGTAAAATATCAGGAACTTTAAGAATGTTTAGCAATTCAGCAAAGGCTTCTGAGATGCCACTGTTTTTGATTCCAGTACCGACTAGGTATGTGGTGTTTGTTCACAATGATGATTTGTTCACAACAAACCATATGATTACAATTTTCCATTTTTGGACATTATTAAGGAAGACATGATGAAAATTTTTGATTCACCAATTCATAATATATCAACCAAAAGAATCGTTATTTTCAACCTACCTCCAAGTGAACATGCCACTAAAATTAATAATTGCCAATCCACAGACGCAATTGCCTTCACAGGAGACAACAATCTCAAAAACACCATCACTGCAAACGCCACCATGGCACACAACACCATTGGCACATTCAATGAGGCTGCAAGAACTACCGCAAAAAAGATGGGAATCATTAAATATTCCCACCACCACAAATTATATTCCTTTCCTCTAAATTTCACAATAAAAGGTCGATGATCTTGTTTTGGATTTACATTACAACGGAAATGATGAAAAAGTCCAAACTTTCCTTGTACTTTTCATAAAAATCTGGCTTACTGAACACTAGAATGGTGTCTCCCATGCGAACTGTTTGATGATTGAAATCGGTCGATTCGGTTCGTGAACGGACAACAGATTCACGATGTCTCACTGCCAACAATACGACTTGATAGGTTTGTGAAAAAACGAGATAGGTTTGTCCCACACATGGATTACTATTTCCAATGACACATTCGAAAAATTCTGGATCGACGTGTGATGATTCATCCTTGTGTTGTTGTGAATCTGAGATGGGTGGAGGATGTGTTAAATTCTCTGCAGTGGTCGACGTTCGTGTGATATCAATGATGGATGATGAACCATTTTCATGTTGATTGGCTTGTTGTAATAATTGATGTTGTAATTCACTTTTTGGAATGGGTGCATCTCGAAGGGAAATGGGATCTCCATGTTGGTTTTGTTCGTCGTCATGGTTCAATGAAATTTGATTGTCTTCATGATGCTGTTGAGAGGAATCTAGTACTGAAGATGATGGATCGAGCTCTGAAGTAGCATGTTGTGAAAGATCGAGTGAACGTCTTCTCAAAGATTCGGTTCCAATCATTTTGTAGATGGTTGTGTCTTTGAATTTATCAGTCAAACCTGTAATGGCATTGAGTGCCATAATTTCTTTTGGATTTCCTTTGAATATAATCTATGGGTAACAATATTCGAAGAATATGTTTTGGAAATAAATTGTGTGAAAAAATGTAAAATAATGATATTGAAATAAGCTTACCTTATCACCATATTGAATTAATAAATTATCTGGAACTGGTGTAATTCTTTCAACATCATCGTCGTTATCTGTCATGTAGTTTTCTTCAAAACTTCCACTCGTATTGAGTCTTTCATCCGAATATTTTGAATTAAGGATCATTCCTTCTTGTGACAATTGCGACACATTCAATGGTCGAATAATTTCAATAATTTCCAACGATGAGAGATGCAAATGATCCAACACTTTTTTCTTGTTTTTTCCAATGAGAGGCGAGTTCACATCTCGAATGTTAATTTGTGAAAGAAATTGTTCGGATCGTTCTTTGGCATATTTGAAAAGACCTCCTTTCTTGTCTGGAAGTAACGAATAGCCAATAGTGCTCATGTACAAAAACATGGCTACCATTAATATTGATCCAATGAAGGAAAATTCAAAGAAGGAAAATTCTTGATAGCCATAACTGGCCATTAATCCAGACACGACAAGATTTGTTGAAGTTCCAATGAGTGTACACTGAATATTACAATCAATTCATGTGTGATGAGTAGATTCATGTATAATATTTTCAACAATTGTTGATTCCATTCATGAAATCCATTCACAAAATGGTTCGAAATGGTTCGTAACATAACTTCGAAAATCAAACAATAGAATAACATACCATTCCTCCAACAGTCGTTGTATAGGCAAGAGGAATTAAAAATTTCGATGGCGATAATCCATACGTTCGGCACCAATCCTTAATCAATGGTAAAAATAACACCACAATGGGAGTATTGTTCAAAAACATGGACAAGACACAAATTGGAAAGAAAATTCTCAAATAGGACAATCGTGGAGAAATAATGGGCTTACCAAACATTATTTTCGACAATTTCAAAATCATTGGACTTGTGGAGAGAGGCTGTACTACCGGGAAAAGAAATGCAATGGCAAGCATTCCGTCGTTCGAGAAACCTGCCAAAGCTTGCTTGAGTGTGACAATGCCAGTCACAAGGAAAAACGCTAATGCCACAAATACGACAAAATAAGGTCTGAAAATATCAAAAATTAATCCTACAAGCATTCCCAAAACGGTCACCATGACAAGCCATAATTGCCAATTCGTAATTGCAAAATTAATAACTGGTGAAGAAGCTCCACAAGTATTGACAATTCTTCCTGAAGCTAAAATTGTCTCTGATAACTCTTGCTCGGCCATTAATGTCGAAAAGTCATCATCACGTTCAAGAGTTGCCTTATTTTCCTCATTATTCACAACCACTCGCAATGAATATTTGGATTCAAACAAATCTGGAACTCTCAAAAATGCATTCGTATTATTGGTACTCGATACCAGTGAATGACCTAATTTGATCAGATTTGGTTTTTCACTACTGGAAGTGTTTTGTGTCGAGTTGATATTCATATTGAACGGCGATGACCATTCTTGAGGCACAATGACATTCTGTCTTTCAGATGTTGTTGGTTGTTTCCAAAAATCATCATGAATCAATTCCAAAGATATATCATGCTCCTGTGTGGTGGGTGACGATTTGGTGTGATTCGTATTTGATGTGAAATTCAAAACTTTAGAATCTAGAAAAACTCTCCATGCCAATGTTGATTTTTCATGTTCATAGGAAATGGTAGCAATTCCAATTACTTCTACCACCGATGTGTTAGTATTGATGGTTGTTTCCTTTTTAAATTCACATTGAAATTTGTATGGAGCAGCTACAATGTGTTGTCATCATGGACCAAAGATCACACAATTTTTATGAAATTATTCCATAACATCGCGTCAAGTAAAATAATTTGTAATGATTGTTGTTGTCGTTGTTGTAATTGGTACCCAAATGACGATCCAAATGACAATAAATACCTTCGACCATGTCATGAATAGCCATCTTTACGATGATTGAAATAAATAATACAAGGATGACACCTCTTCGGAGTTGTTGAGAACGAGAATGGCCCTCATAATAACTTGACCGAGTACTTTCCCAACCATCATGATGATGTGTGGTCATTTTGTGTGATGATGATCGATTTTGATATCAGCTCTCGGAGTTTGGTCCTGTGTGTGAAATATTTTTCTTCACAATTCCTGAAACTTCCAACATCTCTTTCCTATCTTGGATTCTTACATACAACTGAAGCATCATTGCCTTAGTTATTCCTTTCTTCAAGTCCATTCAAACAATTTGAAGTAATTGTTATTCTAAGGTTACATTTCAATATGGATTCGTCAAATACTTTTTGAATGAATTTACAATGCAAGGTTGTGTTGGTTTGAAAAAATTGGAAAGCAATCGATCAAGTGGACACATCCAACAAGTCGGATCCGAACAACAGTGTGGTATATCCTTTTCTTCAGGAAAACGTATTACATTCACACCTATTTATGAAACGTTAGCGTTGGGAAACCACAAACACATCAATTGTTGTTGGGAGGTCGGCCGGGAATCAAGTCTAGACCTCTTTCAAATCTCTAATTATTCTTCCGCAAGATCAAATTGGTGGAGTGCCTGAAACAAAACGATAATACGTTTGGGATCTATCCGCGTGAGTTGAGAGTTGATAATTGAACCACACTTTTAGCTTTACATTGTGCACACAGTCCAAGCGTAACAAACATTCTCTTATTATTGAGACACACAATTTTCATCATCGGAAATTACTTCAAATCAAACGAACCCTCACGGATCTTCAATCTTTCTAATTGTACTTATATTTATAATTATTCATTGTACTATACTAGTAGCCTCCAATTGCAACAACAAGGAAAATGATTTCTCCTTCCTCATCACCTCTGAAAAGAAAAATGAGCACGACTACAAGTACTGCTGCACCGACAACAACGAATTCATCATTGGGAATTTCTTCTTCGCCGTCTTCATCGTCCGAGGCTTACTCGTATGAAAAACAACAAAAGAAGAGAATGATTCATCATGATACCCGAACGTTTGCCCGAGAATCTGATTCAATAGAACATGAATGTGAGGGTGTTCCGCTTGAAAACTTTCTAAATGAAAGGATTGATGAAAAATTGAATCGATTTGAAAAAACTTTGCGAGAATTGAGTGTATTCTATAGAGAGGGAACAGAGAATGACATAGATGATGAAAAATCTTGTCACCATCACGATATTAATAGAAACAACAATACTGCTTCTACAATGCAGCATGCCATTATCAACCACAACACGAACATATTAAACGAAGACAAGCAGCTCGAAGAAGGATTGGAAATAGAAATTTCACACCGAAAAGCAATTACAACACGATTCAAGTTTCTCAATGCCCACGACATGCTTCGAGTTGCAGGTATGCGTGGCGTGGAAGATTTATTTTGTGGAGGTGACTATGAAGACGTTTCAAATCATATTCGTCCCACCATTGATTTCGAATTATTGGACGTACTGCTAAAAATCTCAATTGCTCAACACAATGCAAAGAACGGAGTTTCCGTAATTTCTATTTTTCAAATTGCATATCAATTAACACAAATTATGTTTGCAGAACGAAAAGCTGCCTTGAAATTTATGAGTGAAAATATGAGTGCATCTGATGATAAAATTGCTAGCGAATCATCAAATGTAAACGTTGAAGAATTAATAATTTGTCAAATTAATCGAATTCGAGTGATGGAATATAATCCTGAGAAGGGAGAAGAAATCAAAATTGCATTGACATATAACGAATATCAACGAGAGCATTCCTACAGAGTTTGGAACGATCAAAGAGAATCCTGTGAAATATTTGCATTGGGAAAATTATTATTCTCACTTCTTGCATGGCACTATTTGGATTTTGAAAACTTCACTCATCAAGAATTATTCGAAACCATTTCTCAAAATTATGTACATACTGAAAATTTATGCGAAATTATGGCAGCAGTCATGAGAAAATTATATCATTCACAAACAATGGAGCATCGAAAACAACTACTAGATGACTTGATCACTGAATGGCCTGCTGGAAAATTCACCACAATCATGCAAAATTCCTACAATACATCTACTTATATGAAATCTGGATCGTTTAATGCGGGCGTGTTGGATTGGCTATTCGAACAATCCAAAAAGCAGTATTACAAACAGCATGTGACTACACGCTTTTTTAACCTCTTTAGTGATTTGACAGAGAATGGCACCCATTCGGACGAGGACTCTACGAATCCATTCATCAACTCGTCCTCCGTTTTCGATTTTTTCTCGTCACATTGGGAAGACTTGGGAACTGTGAATCATGATGCCATTTTACGAGACTGCATCTTTTCCAAGAAGAAGATTGAAAGTATCCTACAAAAGATTAGTTCCATTGGAAATCCCATCATTCAAAAGCGATACATTAAGAAGGTACTAGTTGAAATTCTACCCAAATCGTTACAACTTGCACTGCATCCTCAAATTGAAAACGAGTTCAATATTCAACAATCATCAGCCCTTACGAACTACCTCTTTCCAAATGTTACCTTCTTTCAAAAATATGCACCACTCACAAGAGCACTCTCATGTTTACTCTTTCCCATACCTGAGCTCAGAATCAAATTAGATACATGGCAATTTGTAGAGCTGCCACAGTTTATTTCATCTGTGAGCCAAAGCATGGCCATCCATAACAAGGAAGAAATGATTCGATATTTGGATATGAATCCATTTTTCCAAGGAGAGCCCTTAGTTGCTGAATCCAACACACAACAACCAGAACAGTTGAATCAATTCCAAAAGGAAGATGAGCATTCACCTGAAAATTCAGACGAAGCACAGCAGCAATCACACATTCGACAAAATACCTTCATGTCCGCCATTGCATTTTATGGCTTGTCAGATTTTAAAAGCTCCATAACCATTTTAAATCGAGTAATTGAGAGCCGATTGAGACAATTGAACGATATATTGAACCAAAATCATGACATGTCCACCATCGATCGAGGTAGTATGGACACAAGCCCCACTCTACTTTCGTATGACTCTCTCATGGAAAAACAAGCCATCTCTCTGGACTTGCTATTGACTGAATTAATTTTATCATATTCTTACAAGGCGAAAGGACAAACCGAGACGAAAATGTATGATGATGCCAAGATTTGCTCCATTCATTCCATTAAGGTCATTCATATTGCACATATTTTACTTTCCAAAAGCAGCCACCGATTCGAGGAAGCACGAAAACTCATGAAGGAAATTCTTGAAACACACTATGATACCATTGAAGCGGGAGTACAATTATATGCGGTGGTGGAAACATGTGTCAAGCAATGGAACAATACAACACCTTCAAGCACAAAAGAAGAAATGGCAATATCCAATCACAAGACACTCGAAGGTTACTTTGTGTTACCAAGATGGCTCATTTCCACATTCTTTACCATTGCTTATATTTATGACCATATTGACAGCTTTGAGGAGGCTATTCGTTTGTACAAATTTGTGATCATGGTCTGTCCAACCTATTCCATGGCGTTCAACAATTGTGGAATTTGTTTGTATAGACTTGGAGCTCCCAATCTTGACCAAGAACCCAACATTGACCAAGCCATCTCTGCCCAATGTGAAGAAGAGTCCTTTGCTAACTTTACTCTGTCGTCGAATTTGGACAAGGCCAATATTTGTCCTCATGTGAATCGAGTAAGCTTGCTAGTGGCTCAGTCAAGCTTTAATAGCGTTTCCCGAATTAAGAAGAATCTCTTGTCCATTGCTGAAGTGTACGAAACAATTGGATATGAAGGCGCCACAACACTTTTGAAGCGACTGTTTAAGGAAGATACCACTCTTGAGGCAACATATTTACTCTGGATTCGAGATCGAAGGGAACGAGCAATTTTCGATTCTAATTGCTGCATTTTGTGTAAAACATCTGTCGAAGGATTGGAAGATGTGGCCGAATATTTATTTGATCGATCCTTGAATTTCCAATCACTCTCCATGTTCGATCAAGCTGTCATTGACTTGTCACGTTGCTTTGAATTATCGGTTCTGCTTTCACACAAAGCAGATACTCTGGGAGGTTACCAAGGAGCGTCGGTCTTTCAATCGAGTGTACTGTTTAACAGAGCTTTGTGCTATGACTTTCAGCAACGACCAGCAGAAGCATTGGAAGATTTATACAAGATTTTAGAAATTGATCCGAATGATGCTGATGCATTGAGCATGATCGATGAAATGTTACATAACCATAACGCTAAATTACGATTGGATTAAGGAATTCTAAATTTATTATTCATTAATGGATAATATTACAGCTCTGAATCGGCTCATTTACGTAGTATTGACAATCTGCCCGTTTAGTAGCTTGTTAACACAATTGTGAATACACCTTTCAATTTTGGTATTTTACCATTTCTATACCAAATTTTACAAATCCCAAAAAGTGTTTCCAAAGAGAAGATCATTCGATCGCCTGAAAAACAATGTTTGTTCCATCCTCCGCCTCCTCTCCACAACTCCCACCCATCCATTCATGCCCACGACCATTCGCTCTTACTCGTCAAACTTTTTCACAGAAATTACAAGTCCGCTACCACTTCTCACTTCCCCAAGAAATGATGGTCCTTCTACAACTATAACATCAACCTTTGAAACAGTTGTAAACATGAACGCTCTTCCTTGCTTTCAATCGCTACCCGAAGAATTATTAGTATTCATTTTCACATTCCTTCCATTGCAATCGATTCATGTGCTTTTTCAAGTGTGTAAATATTTTCATTCGCTAGCGCAAAGTGATTGTATTTGGAGACAACAATTTGTAAATCTCATGGTATTGAGTCATCATCAGGCACATGTTTCATCTACAGAAATTACCACAAATGGAAATAACCAAAATGGAAATTCTACGAATCATTTAATGTCTTTGGCGAATAGCATTCTTCCAATGAGACAGTTATTTTCCACCTTCTCCATTTCGAAAATTATTCAAAAACTACAATCTCAGTACTTGACATTATTTCAAAATTCCATTCAAGATTTCACACAAGTGCATCCGGCAATGACGCAACATCTACATCACAAACAACGAGAAGGTCTTTCCATGATTCAAAGGAACCTCCTTTTTACTTATTTTCCAATGATGAATCTTTACAAAATTTTTACAAAAAGTCTCCAACTGTGGAGGATTATTATTAGATCCAGATTCATATGTGACCAATCCATTACGAAGAAGATTCATTGCCAAACGGAGAGGAATGGGATGGATGCTGAATCAGCTCCTTCACAATGAATTTGTCATTCAATGTTTATTGGTTCGAGAATTGTTGAAAGAAAATGTTTCTCAAAATTTTCAAATTCATGTGAAACCAGAATTTTACGACCACTCGAACGTGACTCACGAAATGAATGAGTGTTGGAGTGACTATCACAAACAAGAGCCTGAAGAATCTATCCATGTCCTTAATGATTCAATTGAAACAGAGTCTGTCGGGAACACTCATTCCATTTCTTCCATGAATTTCAATGAAAATGACGAATCTAAATTGTCTCAACATTTTCATCCTTCTGCAACGAAAACCACTCAACTCTGTATGGAAACTCATCACCACCATCCGCAAGATTCAAAATTTCCCACTCCATGTAATTGTTTTTACATTTTATGTGAATATCTCATGAAAATGAATCATCACTATGGTAAAATCGATTCGAGAGAATATTTAGGTTTGAGAATGATTAAGGCACTGAAAATTTATCAAACATTTGTCTTTCCAGTGTGTCTTGCCTTGTTGATATTATTGAGCATGTGTTTACATGGAGCGTATTTTGAATTTTGGAACAAGTCGAAAGCAGACATTTATGTGTTGGGATTGATTGCTTCCGTGTTGTTGCTGATGGGTAGTTGGTTGTGGGTGTTGTGTATCTTTGGTAAGTTTGTGTGTCAAAATGATGAGTCTAACTTTGGGAAATTCTAAAATTGTGAAATATCTCACTCTTTGGAACCATTTCATAACATTTAGTCAGTTTCTTACTTCAAGCTATTGAAAAGAGTTTTCACTGCACAAGTTCAAGACCTTCACAAGAATTTAATTCCATTTTGTGTATCTTTTACATGTCCATGCAATGGCTGCCTGCATTGAGCATGTGTTATTTTGTGAAAGCATTCATGAATTCCAGTGTTCCATTCTTGGCTCTTTCTGGAATTTCCTTCTTCCTCATTGGATGTAACATGTTTATACTGTATCGATTTCGATTGTTGAAATGTGCGAGTACTTTTGAAAAATTGGTTGGAATTTTAGGCATGGTAATCTTGTTCATGATGTTTCTAGTTACCATTCCCATTTCTATTAAGGTCGATTTTCAATTGAAATTATTTTCTGGATATGTATCGATTGTGCTGTGTGCGCCGTTGGCTTTGATTGTCTTTGTGTTTCAAACACAAATGTATGTCGTGGTTCAGGCATTCGCCTATTGGTTTCGAACCACATTGGTTCATCCGTTGAGAGTGAGCATGGGATCGGCATTTGTGTTAGCATCACTCATATCAGCTTTTGTGAGTGTTCCTGCTGTGGTTGGAATTGTGTTAATGTCGTTGCGCATCGATGGACTGATTTCATGGAATTATTTGTACTTGTGCACACCGTTTCTTGTGACCTTGTTGAGTCAATTTGCAATTATTGCACAATTTCTAACGTCGAGATAGTTTCAACACAATACCACAAGAATATCAAGTTGATAGTGACAATTTATTAGAATTACTGAGAATAGTATTATGATTTGTGAGATGATTTCTATTGTTTATTATTACCCTCGGATGACGATGAAGATTGTGGTTTGGTGGATTCTTCTTTTGAAGGCTCACTCACTAGACCAACACCGTTTGTGGCTTTTCTCTTAAATGAAAAGTTTCCTTCTCCAACATCTTCAATTAAAGTCTCCAAGAAGGTACTGCCATTGATCAGCTTGGTGGTAGCCACAATGTATTCACAGTCATTACTTCGTTCGTTGAGATAGGTAATGGCACTAATTTCTGCAAATGTCACACCTCCAATAAAGTATACCAAGACAACTTTCTTTCCAAGTTGTGAGTCTTGTGATCCCTTTTGTGTTTCCTCACCATGTTTTGGCGAAATGTTGTTAAGAACTGGCTCAATTTTTCTCCATCCCTTGTCTTCATTCATCGCTTGTTCTACCAATGAAACAGTAATGGGACAATAGCCATTGTAAACGACGTGTGGATCGTAACTAGCGTCCTCATCGGTGCGTTCCATGACATTATCATCATAGAGTAGCAAATTCTTTTTCAAATAACTCCAATTACTGGTTTTAGCATCTTGTCTTTTGAGAAGTCCAACTTTCTCCAAATTATTCAGCGTGAGAAGGGCTTGAAGACCATAGCTCTGTACTATTTCTCTTCTCAATTTTTCGAAAACTTTTGCCTTAATTCCTCCGTTCACAAGAGAGTACAAACACAAGACACGTAGTACTTGTATAAAAGTATTTTGTCTATCAATACTCTCATCGATATACTCCATGGTAGCCTTGTCGTCATCTCCAGTGAGAATGGCATTTTGTGTTTGAATTAATTTTCTGAATGGCATCTTACCAATGATGGTTCTGATTTGTTGCATAATGTTAATGTCTTTAAATGTGTGAAAAGCGAAGAATATTTAAAAATTATGAGAATAATTCGTTAATAGTATGACAACAACAATACATAAAAAAAACATACGCATTTCTAAATTTCTCTTATCTTCCTGGAGTTGAGGTAGCAATTTAGTAAAGGCCTTAATTTTCTCAATGGATTGTTTCAGTTCATCTCGCTCCTTCATCTTTTCATCAATTTCATGAGCCTTTTCCTGTAATCGAGCTGCAACATGTTGTTGATTCAAATGTCTCACTCGATCAAAAACAGTGTCATATGAGTTGAGTAAGACTTTCTTGCTTGTGCCTCTACTTTCTGGTGAGCAGTCTGTTGAAAAGAGTGAATTTGAAATGCCTCCAAGAATTTCATCAATTAATCCTTCATAGGTCAATTGTGTCAACATGGGAGTAATGAGATCAATGCCTCTGTCTATTAAAATTAGAGTATTAATTTCTGGTACAACACTGAAAACTTGAGAGCCTACTTGTTTTTTCATCCTCATGATCATATCAAATACATGATTTGCACTGGATCCTATATATTTCACATTGGGTATTAGTCCATAGTAGGATTGTAGTTTCATGATCGAGCGTGCAACATAGTACAAGGATGAAAAATCTCCATCCAATTCACATTCTTTGAATGAGGTTGAAATTTCCATTGAAAGAATATGTGGGTCGAATACAATCAAATCCAAAGCATATTCTCCAATCTTCACATCACCGAAAACTCCACAATCTTTCAAAATTTTTTCACAAATTAATGTTGTTCGTGGAACAAGATAGATGGAAAAATTAGTTGGAGGCTCAATCACTTCTTGCTCCTTTTCAACAATGGGGTTCTTATCTTTGGACTTTTTGTCGGATTTTGTTGGTAATTTTTGCATCATCTCTCGTTCCCGACTTTGTCTTTGTGTGATCCAATATTTAATTTGATTTGCAATCCATTTCATGAGATGCATTCTTGGACGAACAATATACATGACATTCTTGAAAGGCGTGTCAAAAGCTTGGTCCGCCAGTTTGTGTACCTTTTTAACTCCGTGCTCTTTTAAGAGATTGGATGGAGCAACGATACCCAATGGGCCAATAATTTGATCATCCAAAATGAGTACTTTATCACCCGGGACCTATTTAATTATTAAACACGTTTTGTTCAGTAGTTAGTTATATAATGATGATGATAATTCGCGTGATGAATAAATAAATTAGTGATATCAAAATTCGGAACATTCATAATGATGATATAGAGTTGTAATTCAATACTAAACAACACCTACCGAATCCAACACATCACACAGGTCCGATTTTGCAGTTTCTTTCAGTATGTCGAGTTGTGGCATTGAATGAAGGCTTTGTTCACGATATTTTTTTTGGTTTTGAATTCTTTATCGTGGTTGTCTTTTATTAAGAAAAGCATTAAATATTTATATCACAAAAAATCTCAATATTAAATCAATTTGCTAATTCGAACGGAGATCTTTCAAAACAGTCCCAAAAAAGTTTTTCAATCAATTGAATATGAACAATTCCAATCAGTTCCGCAACAAAAATCTCAATAAAATCTTTTCAAAATATGGCGATCGGACCCCAGTCGTCTGTCGCTCCATGAATGAGGAAAAAGTCTGGTTTTAGATCGTTTATTATACTGGACTGAGATTAACGCTCCATTTACTGTTGGTGTTGCTGTTGTAATTCAGAGATATCAATGGCGTCTCCTGAAACATTATTCTTCTCCAAATTCCAGGCCATAATTTCATTGTAGAGCATGGCTTTCAAATCTCCCTTAGCAGCTTCATCTTCAAAGGCAAAATCGAATGGAGGACATGTTGGTTCATCCTCAGGATCATGCAAATTGGCCAAGTAAGGATGTTCTAGAGCTTGTTCAACAGTAATTCTCTTCACAGGATTGAAATGTAACATCTTTTTCAGTAAATCCAAAGCAGCAGGAGATGCATTAGGGAAAATTGTACGGAAATCTTTACCTGCTCTTCTTGGCAATTGTTTCAAATAATTCACTCCTTTTTCACAACCTTTGATATCCTCGTCTTTTGGTGTGCCCAAAACGTCCAAAATTAAATCCAATTGATGTAAATAATTGTTTCCAGGGAAGAAGGGTTTTCTTCCTAAAAGTTCTGCCATGATACAACCAACAGACCAAATATCGAGAGCTTTTGTGGCTTGTTCCCACATGAGTAAGAGCTCAGGAGCACGATACCAACGAGTGGCAACGTATGGTGTTGACATGACAGGATTCGATAATTCAATTCCTCGTGAAAGACCTACAATAAGTCATGTTGCAATATTTGCAGTTCACAAAATGTTCAAGAAAATGAGTGTTAATCATTACAGTAAAAGAGTGATTGGCAACAACATAATTGTGGGAACCAACCACAAAAGCAAGTGTCATGAAAATTAAAGAATCAGATTCTTCTTCGATGAACTTGTCATCATAACACACTTACCAAAATCGCAAACTTTGAGTTCGCAATTGGAGTTGAGAAGAAGGTTTTGAGGTTTTAAATCTCTGTGCAGTACATTGGCAGAGTGCATATACTTCAATGCTCTTAGGATTTGGTACACAAAGTATTGAACATGTTCTTCAGAAAGTTTCTGATCTGATTTGATAATTTGTCGGAGGTCAGTCTCCATCAAATCAGTGACAATATACACATCTTTAAAGAGATCATAGTTGCGAGGAGGAACCAAATCACTCAGACAAATTATATTTTCATGATCAAAATGTTTGAGAATTTTGATTTCTCTCAAGACACGTTTTTGGAATTCTGATTAAGTTGAACAAAGCATCAAAGAGAAAGAATTGTGAATGTCAAAACGTCGTTGAGAGTTGTCATGAGAGACCGAATGCAAATAATAAAAGGAGTAAGCAATATTAGTACATGATATTGTCAGAGGCGTGTGTGTTCATAGTACAGTCAAATCACGAAGAGACAATTTTGAAATAGTATCACCAAATAACGGTAAATCAAACGACTCATTATCCAATACAATACCAATAGATACATACCCCGGTCATGATCGAAAATATTGAAAACCTTCTTGATGGCCACATTCTCGTTCAGGTCTGAATCAAAGGCCGAGCTGATAGATATCAAGAACACAAACACATGAAATAAATTCAAATTCGTTGTGTAAATATAAAATCCATAATATTGATATTACCGTTACATGAAATATATATATACAACATCATCGTTATGCAGATGAGCAAATAATAACAACATAACAACAATAAACCTACCAAACAATACCGTAGGCTCCTTGTCCAATCGCATACTGTAACTGATAACGAGTAGGAACCTCGAAAATATTGTCTCCTACTTCATATCTCTGCAAAACTGGTCGTTGTGGTGGTCCGCTTGCTGTATGAGTTCCATTTCGGCCATGATGTTGTTGTTGGTATTCCTCATCATCCACCATAAAATTGTCGTGGTGCTGTTGTTGTTGTTGAAACATTTTTTCAAGTTCAAATATCATCTTGTGTAGCAGCCAATCATTCTTTTATTAATAACATCCAAATTTCGTGATCGTGATCATCACACAATCCTTGAACAAAGCAGGGTTGAAGTTTTCCAATTATGATTTACAATGCAAGAAAAAAAGCGCTGAAAATTCAAAAAATGTTTGACCATGGAAGCCTTCAGAAAGAACAACAATAATACAACCACTGCGAGTGAAGAGTTGGAAGATGAGGAGGCTGCACGAGTATTAGAACATATACGAATGTTGGAGAAGGAGGAACAGCAACAACGACTACAACAGCAATCATTACAAAATTTTGATCCTGCTCGGAATAATGATAAGCAATTTTCATCGTCGCCTTCTCGCCATCATTTGGCAACGAACCTGAATTTACATAACAACAGCCCTACCAAGTTGGAATCCATCTCTCCAAGGGAGAAAGCTCAACAGCACGCCACTCATCGCCCTTGTTACAACAGAATCATCATCATCATGATGACCCTCATACAACTTCTAACATGAATGTACCACATGTATCATCAACCACATCACCTAAAGCATCCCTTCCTACAACAGCAACAACCACAGCTTCCAAATTTCAAGAAGAAAATTCAGAGCAACAACTACCATCCGACAAACCTCTCGCATCACATCCCTATTTCACTAATCATCCACGACTAGCTCAGCAACCCCAACATCAACAAACTAGAACAAAATCTCCCCACAACACTCGCAATAATTCTACTGCTGTCACTACCATGTCTAACAAGCCCAAATCAATGAACCACCAAAAACCAACCCCTACCACAACATTACACAACTAAATACTCCTGTAAGAGCTCTCTCCAACAAATCACCACCTAGAAACAACATCCTCCTCCCAAATCCCTCTTTTCAAACAAATAACACCACACTTTAGAGGCTCAAGTTGGTGACGTCAGCGACCACATGTTATCACATCACAAAACCTTCACCAATGCTGCTCCTCCAAAATCTAATATTTATTCTCCGTCATCTCACTCTTCAGAGGATGGAACAATTTTTGAATTGTGTGGATTTTCATTTTCTTCGATAGCTCAAGCAAAAACATTTATTCTTTCCAGATCATTGGGCATGAACCCACAACAAGAGGAATGGCAAAAAGTTTTTCAAACCGTGAAGCTTCTCAATCTTCATCAAAATAGTATACCTAAAATGGATGGGCTCTCTGATTTTGTAAATATTCAAGAACTCAATCTTTCATCGAATAATATCGAGAAAATTGAAGGATTAAATTGCTTAGAACAATTACGAGTTTTGAATTTATCGGCAAATAGAATAACGAAAGTGGAGGGCTTGGGAGATTTGAAAAAGTTGAGAAAATTGGTATTGTCTTTTAACAAAATTTCCTCTTTGGAAGGCCTTCATTTTCTTCATGGACCACAGTATAATCTTCAATATTTAGATGTTCGTGGAAACAACATTGAAAATCTTAATGAGCTCACCTTTATTTTTGGCCTTCACAAAATTAGAGAATTGTATTTTCAAAATGGAATTGATGGATCATTCAACAATCCAGTTTGCAAACACGATCGATATCGACCCATTTTACTTAGTCGATTAGCGTTACGAGAGCAACCATCTGGAAGTTTGGAAATTATTGACGGTTTTAAAATCAGTATTGTAAAGGAACAATCACAACCATCTAAAAGACAAATAATACTCAACTATCAACATGGAAACACAACATCGGACGATGAAGAGTTTGATGGCAGTGATACCTTAACTTCTCCCTACGTGAGCAAATATGTAAAATATCTGAAAAATTCGGAACAAGAACAACTCGAAACAGCCACCGTCCCGCAGGCACTACCACCACAAAATAGCAACACGAAAACACCACTAAGGAATGAAACAGTTGAAGTTGCCATTTCTACCCATGAAAAAACGAAGAGCAGAGCAATGGCTCATTGGGGCAGTGTAGTACAAACGACAGTGTTGAGACAATTTCACAATTTATTGGTCAAAAAAGACCACTCCTAAAAAACGCAAACAAGCGCTGTTAGTTCATTCAGAAGACGAGATGAACTCTAGCATTGACGCAAATATTTCGTGCACGATCACAGAGGAATCAAGTGATAGTAGTGACATGGAGGAGGCACGAGGAGAAAGATCAAGACACAGAAACATTAAACGGAAAGACAAACAGGCCAGCAGTGAGGGCACCTCTCAACCTCAAACATCTTCGAAATCAGTCCTTAAAATTCATATTAGAGACGAAAATACACAGACAGACATTTCCTCCTCAATATTTGATGAAATGTTACGATTTCGATCTATCAATTTGTTCGATGAGGGAATTCAAACAGAACCAGAGATTTCTTCTTCTCCTCTTGATAGTAGCCATCTTACAAATAACGATGACAACAATTCTGTTGCTTCCTCGACCAAGTCCGAAAGAGACAGCAAGACCATTGCCGAATTGAGAAAAACCATTGAGGAGTTGTGTAAAGAGCTCGGCTCGTCCAATGTTTACATTCAACATCGAGAACAGGAAATTGCAAGTGAGACTTCACGAAGGAGAAAGCTAGAGGAGGAGCTTGCAGAGACCAAATCAAATTGTTCCAAGTTGAAGAAAAAAATCACAGAGATTTCTACCCAAGTTGCACAACTTGCAGAGGAAAACACGATTTTGAAAGAACACGATTCACAGCTCCAAAAAGAGCTGGAAAGAACCAAATCTGATGCATATGCACTTTCTGATACCAAGGATAAGGAACTTCAGAGTATGAAGAAGGAATGTGAGGCAATTATTTTGGCCCTAAAAAAAAAGATTGATCTGCTCACTAAAAATCATCAAGAAACGCTCGCACTGCTTCAGAGAGCAAAGGAAGAGCATTCAAGTGCAACCACCACTATTCAAGAAGACATGACACAAAAAATTAAGGACTTGTCACAACAAATTATTGACACTCAAGAAAGATGTGACAGAGAGAAGAGGATCATTATGGATCAATGCGACAAACAAATTCAAGAAATTCATAGCTCACATAAAAAAGAGCTCGAACTACTCAAAGAAGAGCACTCCAAGAAAATAATGGACTGGGAAAATATTTCCAATCAGCAAGCGGATGAAATTAAAAAGTTGAAAAACTCAGTTTTGGAATTGGAAAAGAAGGAACACGCCATAACTCATGAGAATGAAGAGCTTAGAAAAATTATTCAAAAGCAAAAGGAAAAGCTCACATTGCTATTGCAGTCCAAGCAAGAAGGTATGGCGTTACTGGTGCGTCAGCTCGAGGAGAAAAAACAAGAACAAGTTTCCAAAGAAAAACTCTATCTAAAGGAGCTTGACAAGGTCTCGAATTATGTGGCTCTGTACAAGAATCAAGCAGAGACGCTTCAAACTCAGATCAAGGAGACAGAACAATCTCGACAGGATCTCCTCAAGCAGCTTGAAGATGTGAAAAAAGAAAACAGCAATGTTGCGACCGAGAGTGAATCATTGAGGAAAGATTTTGAGACGAAAGAGCGTGAAATTAGATGTGAGTACGAAAAGAAAATCCAAACCATACGAGACGATTTTAAAAAAGATCAAGAAGCAGCACTCCTAGTCAAAAACACCATGCTCAATGACAACAATGACACGATTCGAAAACAAAAAGAGGAACTGAACAAGTTACGAGACAAGGTCACATTTCTTGAGAAGGAACTGGATCGAGAAATTAGAGAAAAGGATCGATTTTTCAGGCAAGACGAGAAGCGAGATGAAATGATAGAATCACTTGAGAGAGAATTGCAGGAAGCAAAAGAATTGGCAAATAAGGAAAAGACCAAGCGACAACGTTGCAGAGATGAGTTAAACGAAAGAATTTCCGAGATTTCTTCCTTGCAAGAGCAAATAGAAAAATTCAGAGAACACAACAGTGAATCAAGAGAACAGCTGACAGCCGCTCTAAAAAATCTCGAAATGGAAAAGCAACACAACAAGGAACTTACTCTTCAACTGGCTCGAGTGGAATCCAACATGTTGGAAGTATCACAAGCAACCAAAAAGAAGTACATGGTTTTGGATTCTGCCAATCAAGAATTGCGTTCTCGTCTCAAAGCATCAGAAGAGAAAAAGAAGCTCTATGCTCAACATATTGTCGAAATGGAAGAAACAATCAAAACACTCAAAGAAGCTGCCCTAAAGCAAGCAGAGTTGCGTAAAGAGGCAGAAGAGAAAGTGAGCAAATTTAAAGCATTTATTGAAAAGAGTTTTTAACGTACTGATGAACAGTCTCATTATTTGTATCCATATTGTCTTCACTGTCATCATTAGTCAAGCAATGATCTAGTCCATTAAACACCCTATTAATTCTATTAATTGAATCAATGACTTTTGTTCATGCTTGATCAGTCCAAGGA